CTTGCTGGAGGGCATATAAAGAACCGGCATATTTATTGTCTTATGCACGGGAGAGTGCATCTGCATCGAATACAGCAAAAAAGCCTCAGAAGCCCACAGTCATTTCATCGTACCCGCTCTTTATCTGCCCACGATGTCCGCCACGATTCCTTTGACTCACACTATACCAGATCCAACAAGCTCAACTGTTCGGTCTCTAACAGGCAAAGTAGCAATTATCTCGGGGAGTAGTAGCGGAATCGGCCTTGCCATAGCTACCGAGCTTTCTGCCCGTGGAGCAACCGTCGTCATCAATTACCCCTCTTCCGAGGTTTTTAAGGAGGCATCAAGGGCGGTGGAGTTTGTCATCGGTCCATCACTTCTTGTCTGTGCCGACATGAGCAGCAAGGATGGTCCGGGGTTGCTTGCCAATGCTACCATGGAGAAGTTTGGTCGCATTGACATTGTTGTGAACAATGCAGCGCTCGCCATTAATCTGCCACTCGAGGAAACCACGCTGGATCACTGGGACTCTTTGGTGAATCTCAATGCTCGAGGCACTTTTCTTCTTACGCAGTCTGCCCTTCCGTACCTGACCGTGGGCAGCGGTCGCATTATCAATATCTGCTCTACAAGCTCCCGAGGTGCGCCACCACTCCAGACGGTCTACGCTGGCACGAAGGGAATGGTGGATTCTTTCACCCGTTGTTGGGCTAAGGAGCTTCCGCCTAAGTATGGCTGCACCGTCAATGCTGTATCTCCAGGCCCGACCAAAACAGCTGGTTTCTTATCGGCGGGAGAAGAAGCCATGAAGATCTTGCAGCCTACTATTGAACAAACTCCTGCTGGAAAAAGAATGGGAGAGCCAGATGAAATCGCATATGCTGTCGCTTGCCTTTGTGAAGAGAAGGCTCGGTGGATCAACGGAGCTCACCTCTTTGTAAATGGGGGACTTCACATTGATTGATCCGTTTATTGGGCCAGTATCATACTGGGGATCAGGGTTCAGAAAACGGAAAACAAGAGGTGAAGTCCACCTTGCTATCTTCGCACATTACACTTCGTTGTTTTTTCACTTAAGGCTGTACTCCTTGTTTCGTACTCGTTAAACATGTTAAAAACTGCCACGTTTCCGTCAATGGAATCATTATGGACGCTTGCATCTAACGCTGGCATGAACAAGTATTAAAGTCTCAGAACTTGTAACAGTAGGAAAATTCAAACATTCTAATCATATTGGTCACTTTACTGGCTGAGATATGAAACTACCAGTGACTTAAACTATCAAGACCTAAGGAAATGCGAACAAATATTACAGGAACAGAGTCCACAACATGAATTGATGCTCATTCAGTCCTAATCATTCACTACTTTTTTTCTCCCCTCCCCGTCCTGAGGCTGGCCACTTGACTATGCATACTCGGGTTGGGTTTGTGATAGGGGCCGAATTGATTTCCGATGTCTCTCATTTAGCCATCATCCAAAACCTTAAAGAGTTCGGCTGAGTTAACCCCATGAAGCCGAAACCCTGATGGCAGCGCTCTTCCGAAGTGGAGAGTGTCCGGAACGGAAGAGGCTCAATGCCCACCCATACGGATAAGCCACGGTTGAGGTCATGTGCATCAGACATGCTATGCAGTCTTTAGCTGGATCCCCAAACCATAACTATTATCAAGCCGGGCGTTTGAAAGATTTGTTGTCGGTGGCTCTAGAGGCCTCACTTAACTTTTCGTATAGTCATAGCATCCAGCAACCCTCCTCCGATCATGTCCTTCCCAGCGCCTTCTCGCCATGATTTACCCCCTAAATTCCCCATTATTTGGCAGGATGATATTAGATATGATTTTGCACGCATAGGCCGTGTTTTCAACCACCGTCGGCCATCACGATACCCGATTGCGGTGGTCCAACCGACCAACCAGGACCATGTTGTCGAAGCTGTACTCTTGGCCACGAAGCTTGGATGTCGCATATCGATCCGATCTGGCGGCCACAGTTGGGCTGCCTGGAGTGTCCGAGACGATGCCATCCTGGTTGATTTTGGAAAGTTTAACCACTTCCACGTAGATGATGTAACTGGGGTCGCAAGTGTGTCTCCAAATATGACCGGGAGGGTAATCAACCAGCTTCTGGAGCCTCACGGGCGCTGGTTTCCTGGCGGCCACTGCCCAGACGTAGCAGTGGGGGGCTTCCTCTTACAAGGAGGTATGGGGTGGAACTGCAAGGTAAAGCAGGCTGGTGGCCGCAGTCTACCCTCCTATTCATCGTTGCTAACCAGCCTATAGAATTGGGGCTGGGCTTGTGAGAAAATTGTTGCCATCGATGTAGTTACAGCAGAGGGGAGAAAACTTCGATGTGACGAGTATCAAAATAAAGACCTGTTTTGGGCAGCGCGAGGAGCTGGACCAGGTGAGGAGACTACTAGTTGTGACAGAGCTTGAATGATGTCTCAGAAGCTGACGTATTTTAGGCTTCCCTGCTATTGTTACGCGCTTCCATCTGCAAACATTGCCGCGATATTCGCACGTGAGAGACTCTACATTTGTCTATGGAAAGGAACACTATCGGGCAGCTCTCAGCTGGGCAATAGAGGTACCTTCTACATACTCTTGAGGTCTAGACCCAATATATCAAGCTTGTGTGCTAACTCGACATGAAGCTCTCCCCTACTTTTGATGCTGATACTGAGATTGCAGTTATTGGCAGCTATGTTCCAGGACTCGAGGGAGTTCAAACCGTAGTCCGCTTTACCACTTTTAAGAATAGCCAGGAAGAAGCAGAAACTGCGTTGAAGCCTGCTCATGTGTCTGCTCCTCCCGGCGCCAGTATCAGTGCTCTATGCACTGAAACCTCATTGTCAGACCAGTACGACTTGCAACATGCCGCAAACCCAGAGGGCCATAGGTATCGAGTGGACAACTGCTACATAAAGAACGATGCTGATGTCGCCTCAGTCATGGAAAGTGCTTTTATGGACCTACCTACGAAGAAGAGCTTTTCGCTTTGGTACTCCATGGCACCTTGTTCACGGAAGAATCGTCACGGGAACCCCTTGCAAAACATGGCGCTATCAATGCAATCTGATCATTACTTTGCCGTTTACGCCGTTTGTGAATCCCCCGCGGGAGATAAAGCGTGCGCAGAGTGGGTTCGCGGCGTCATGGTCCCGGCTTCGAAACAGTCGCCAGGAGCATACCTGGGTGATGCTGACTTCCAGGAGCGTGTTTCAATGTACTGGAACAATGAAAATGCACAGAATCTAATTCAGGTTATTAGTAAATGGGATCCCCGGGGACTGATTGCTGGCTACCTTAACAAAGGTGATACCGGGAGTGTCGAAGGGCTTCGTGGTATGATCAAGTCGAGCTAGAGCCCTGATATGGTATGAGAAATCAGGACAACTTGCAAAGACAGCGTTTGCTATTCACACTCTGGCAAGTTATGGGAATTTTAGGCTTCTCATTCCCGAAGCTTATTTTGAAATATTAACTGATGCTGAGCCGAAGATAGCAATTTTATTGAACATATTATCACCCTACATCTCTGATTTTATTTCTAAATTAGACTTATCCAAGACCAGCATGTGTCTCAACCCATGTCCATCTCTTTTGATCGCTAGAGATGTTTCCATTTAAGCCGCTTGGCCATTTTGAGCAAGAAGGTTCTTGGTGCCTGAAGGGACGTCGCTGATGACATCCTTGAGGGCAATACTCTGGAGGTACTCACAAAGCCCAGAGGCGGCCTTTCCCTGGCTCAGGAAGTAAGCTCCCAGACCGGCGACATGAGGAGTGGCCATGGAAGTTCCGCTCTTTGTTCCGGTGCTACCGCCAGGAACATCACTAAGAACATTGACACCAGGGGCATAGATGTCAACGACAGTGCCGTAGTTGGAGAAGTAAGCCGTGGCATCCTCGCTGTCAGTGGCACCAACAGTGCAGAGGGACTCCTCAGAAGCAGGGGAGACACCTCCAGCATCAATGGGGCTGTTTCCATTGTTGGGGTCACCATTGCCAGCGGCAACTGCGCCAAAGTAGCCAGCATCAACGAGAGCCTTTCCAGCATCGTTGACAGACTGGCTCTTGGAGTTGACGCCAAAGGACATGCTCACGACAACGCCGTTGGGGCAGTTTCGGCTGGGAGCATCATCAATGACCTTTTCCATGCCAGCAATCATCGTTGTACTATATCGCAGTCGCCGTTAGTGCCAATCTTGGGCCAGGGAATTTCAGTGCATGTACTCACAGACTGCCTCCGCCAGCAGCGTTGAATGCCTTGATGGCATAAAGAGTGGCATTCTTGGCAACGCCATAAGTAGACCCGGCAATAGTACCAGCGCAGTGTGTTCCATGTCCGTTGTCATCGGTAGTGGCACTGTTGATAACATTGGCTACCCAAGTAGCGCGGCCGCCAAAGTCCTGTGGTTTTGTTAGTCATTATTTGTTTCTGTAAAGCATAGGTTGCTGTACGTACGCTGTGTTCAACATCAATACCAGTATCGACAACATATGCGCATACACCTGCACCGGCTCCATCTGCATAGGTGTATGTAGTAGAACCAGGTGCTTTATTAGAAAGGCGAGCCAAACCCCAAGGAGCGTTCTCCTGCGTAGCAAAGATCTGGGCCTTGGCATCTTGCTCAATGTAGGCGACCTAAGGAGCTTGTCAGCAGAAGATCTCCGTCACACCCTAAAAAGAGGGAACACAAACGCTAGGATCATTGCGGAGGCTGTCCACTTCAGCATCAGTCAAGCTTGCAGCAAAGCCACCGAGGTTGTTGTAAACATAGTCCGCGTCCGCAGCAATGGCGCTAATCGCATTGCTGACGGCAGAAACCTGGCTGTCTCCATTCATCACAACAATATACTTGCCCTCAATGACCTCCGAGGCATCTCGAGTCAGCAGAGGAGCGCGCTTGACAGGAGTAGCCGCCACCAGAGGCAGGGCAGTAAGGATGATTGATGACCGCATATTGATAGATCTAGTGGCAAGAGCAAGTCTAGTGACACGCTTAACTGTCCAATATGGCTGAAGAGATCACCGTGCCGGGGGATCTTATCTGTCTTATAGACAGCGGTGACGGCTTTGGCCCACCTCTATCTAAACGTCCTGGCGGCTCTATGTTGCTAAATGGGGCAGGTGATGATACTGGAGGGGCAGACGTGGAGGAATTGCCCAATCCACAGACGCTAGAGATAGATATGGAAAGCTTTAGCCAAGTAAGAATCAAAATCCAAACAACTGTTCATACCAGAGTGTTATTCTTCATAGTTCTGCTGTAGAGGCCTCGCGGGCCTTTATTGCTGGACTGAAAACCTTCAACCCTTTCCCAGGAGATCAAGAAGGCCTCGTCGGTTTTGCCTAGTTTAGTGGATATAGGACTAAAGTGTGGTGATCGGCAGGTGTAAATTGCTTCTCATTAGCCACCAACCTCAAGTGGGCTGTTTCTTTCATGACTAACAAATCAGTCCTCCTAGCCGAGGACATGCCTAACTTGGTTCACTCCGCTTTGTTACAGGGTCATGTCACTCAAGTTTGCCCCTGTTCATAGCTTCCGTTCCTGGACTTTATCCTCAACCCACACTCCACAGTAAGCTCACGTTCAGGCACACATAGTTGCAAAGATGGATGTCCTACCTTGACTGTCAGCGAGCGGATTATGCCTGAAACGCGGCGAAGCTGGCCTCAGAATATGTTAATGGACAGAATGATAAACCCGAAAGGCGATTAAATTGTCTTGGCAGGGTACTTTTCTGCTCCCCCGTACTAATCCACAATCGTATTTCGAGGGACTTAATCTAACCAAAGCTTGTTGGGTTGCCAAGCTGTCGATCACCTTTGCCGCGCGGCAGTGCTCGTCGCCGCCTCCTCAATTGATGCGGCACGGACTGGGAACTGATTTGATGGTAGAAGAAATTGCTTTCCAAGCGTACTAATAAGAGTCTCTACCCCAAAAGTCATCGCAGAGAATGAAAATTTAAACCAGAGGACAGAATATACTCGAAATGGAAATTGCTGTTGCGATAATAAACGGCTGAGTCACCTGGATCTACCCCGATCCATCGCCGGGATGAAGACATATAATCTTGGAGTATACCTGAAGCCATCCTTGCGTCGGCGGTCGCCGATACAATATCGTGGGTGCGAACGCTGCCACATGACTTTGGATGGAAAACCAGGGTCTGAAACACAGCTGCATGTAAGCCTTGAGCTTTTTCGATGTTTGTTAGTTTTGCTTCTGGCAGCCAAGGAATCCCGCTTGTTAGCGTGAGTGTGTTGTGACTTGGCTCGTGGTGATGTTCAGACTTCAGTTGCGTGGTTAGACTTGGGCCAGACCGGAGATAACAGTGTTAAAATCGAGCAAAAGGGAGGACGGAGATTTCCGTAGTTGGTCCTTGTTTAGGATTAAAGCTACATAATTCCTTGAATGGTAGTTTTGTATACAAAATAGTCTCAAGAAACAGGTTTTTATGTTTCTTTTAATATGACTAGAGGATCTGTACAGTTGCGGGCAGGTTTTTCGGCAATCTCAGGGTATAGGGTAGGTCACTTCTAGTTACCTCAAAGTTGGGATCTATAACCCCCTAGTTAATTACTTCCCAAAAGGGTGTTTCTAGTTAAATATATTACCACTTACTACTCTAATACTTACATTTTGTCTTCTTCTTTCAGATCTACTTATTGTTCTTATATACTACGTCTCTAATACCATTGGTTCGCTTCTCATTTTCATAGGCGGAAGCTCAGCCCCCCTGGCTTGATTTGTCTGGGCGGGTGATTGTTGTTCCTATCAGGAATCTGGGATTATGCTTACTTGTAGCCCACTTTTCAAACTGCTGATGGCCTCCCATGAGGTATTTTTGAGTCTGTGCCATTTTAGCATTGATTCAAATGTGTCTCCACACTCGATTGAAACGGCACGTCCACATGTGTAAGTCTTGGTGAAGGCCACATTGAAAGCTGCAAACGACAAAGTCTCCCGCAATCGTCGCTTTCATTGCCATGGCGCCGCTTGGAACATCAACTATCGCTTGGCTCCGTGAGCGGCGCCCCTTCAAGTCGCCGCCACCGTCCATGCCGTATCTGCCAGCTGAACGCCCTCGTCCACTTACCCCATCGTCACCAGTCCGGACGGGAGCGAATGAGAGCCCCCTGTTCAACCGGCTGCCGTACGATGTCCTCCAAGCAATACTCCGCTCAGCGTTTGCGGACTATGTGCTGCATATTGAGCTGGATTTTGACCATCCCATGATTCCGCTAAAGAATCCGACCAAAAAGCATGGAGCTCGCAACAGCAGCCGGTACTGGCAGCAGTCAGAAAAACCTCCACATACACAATCAGATTATTATGCTCGTGTAGAAAAGTGGAAGTCCAAGAGGTGGCAATGGTGGAGTTGTATCTGTCATCGAAGCCACGCCCCATTTGCTTCCATCAGAGGCACTCACTGGGCGGGATGGATATCAGGGGATGATGCTTGGTATGATGCGTGCAAGTTTGGTGTTAATGATTATTGCGATATTATCCCTGGTGTCTGCCCGCAGAAATGTCACATTGGGATCATGGGCTGGCTGCTGTCTTGCCATCAGGCGTGAGTGCCTTTTTTTTTCTATAGTATTCTCAAGAATGATGGCTGACAGCTGAAATAGTTACTCTTTGGGTATCAAAATACTGTACTCCATGAACACTTTCCATTTATCCAACCCAGAGCTTATCCTCAACCTACCCAAACTGCTGCTACCATCACGACTCGCTGCTATTACCAGCTTGGAAATGTTGTGGAAAATCCACCCTTTTAGGGAGGGGGATGACCAAGATCCGCCTTGCTCAGACTATGAGACGTTTCTAACTTTGGCTCAGAAAATCCCCATCATTTTTAAAGGTCTCCGAAATCTGTATCTCTCACTCCAGGGAGACCTCTACATGGGTAATGATATTGACTACCAAGGAGACTCTAAACAAAAATTCGATCTCGTCGAAGATCGCTTGATGAGACCTTTGGAGGCCATGATACGGAAGCTGAGTTGTATTGAGATCTGTGTCATCGCACTGCCTTCTTCATGCTACGGGCCTGAGAAGTGTGTTGCCATGGAGAGTGGCTCACTCGTTTTTGAAAGGAGGTCCATCGACGGGCAGCAAGAAAGGAGAAGGGAGGAAGTTTGGAGGGAACTAGGCGAATGCTCGTCTTCTGGATTCCACGGCTATTGGATTCAGCTAGGCCACCGTGACCTTCGCATCCCGGAAATGGGGTGTGGGCTCCCCAGTGCACCTGTACCTAAGGATCACCCGCTCAACGTCCTCTATGAACTTCATCGCTCACCTTGGTAGGGGGCAAGCACGGTATTACAGGTGCCGGACTTCATGCCGCAATAAAGAAGAGCCGGAATCTTATCCTAATGTCTAGTATATTGATTGCTATGATTCTTTTAGATGCTTTGAATTTGTAAGGGGGGTCGCACTTTTATCTAAGGTTTTCAAGTGACTTTTGGACCTCTTTGAGTACCAGTAATCATGTTGGTTATCAATACTGATGATAATTCCTCTCTCACCACTATTCTAACACCCTTTATGAATCATGGCCCATCCCCCTCGGCTGGATCTACACGATAAATCACTTGAGCTGTATTGAAATATGCCTCATACTTGGCATTCGCATCTAGGCCATTGTGATAGTGCCCTCCCACGCTGTCCGTCTCACGCGAGAAGCAATGTGAATGCTCCAGGCGCAATCTCAAGCCTGGATCCGCCGAGTGAAGTACAGACAGGCAAACAACGGGACTATCGAAATCACGCCACTGTAGCCAGTTGTTGAAATCGACGGTGTTTGACCATGGTACTTCGCTCGCCGGTGGGAAATTTGGCATGATGTGGTAGTTCGCATTGCCTGACTTGACCAGGAACACCCCGCCCAAGCTGATTGGCACGTCGTCACCGTAGATTGAATGGACACCCTGACGCACGGTTTCACTGAAGCTGATATTCGTGACATACGGTTGTTCAGCTTCGATCTTCAGTACGAGCCCTGGCTCTCCTAGAGAACCGTAGAAATTGCCCATCAGGCCAATGTTGTCGCTAGGGCTCTTGTCCACATGGATGTCACCCGAAGGGGTAACCTGGATATATCGAGCTTCGTTTCTGAGGTTGTCGAATTCCCCTTCCCAGCTCAAACTGGCTGCGAGTTCCGTGTTGTAGTCCAGGTCAACATAAGGGCCACCTGCCGCACCAAGCAGGGATCCCTTGTCGGCACTCAATCCAATTGCCTTGGCCACTTCCTTCAAGGACCATGACTTGTCTGCTAGGGGTAGAGGGTAGAGGTTTCCTGGACCTCCTACATCGACGACGCGAGCATCACCCGCAAGTCCCTCGGCGGCGAGGTAGAATGGTGCCTCGGTGAAATTGGGAGAGGTTACGACACTGACAGTGGCGGATTGAAAACTGGAAGATAGAACTGTTTGCAAGTTCCCGGCGATGTCTTCTAGACTTGGTGGTGATAAGGGGAAGCTGCTGACCTCCAATGTCATCGTAAACTGGCTTTACAGAAGAATAGTCTAGAGAAGTTGATATAGAACATGAGAACTGGTAGAGGAATGAATGAGGCAGGCATCACTGAGGTAAGATATAGTGCTTTCACTCCTGGACTACCCGCTACTATCCGGTTGCTGAGTTGAACACTCCTATTTTTGTTCATAATGTTGTGTGCATAGTGGGTATAGTAGGTTTATCAGAGTGGGATGTGGGATATAGCGGGACTATGTTACAAATTGCCCCGTCGCATACAACGTCACGTCTCATTAAGGAAGGAGAGTTGATATCTAACGTATTCGTGATTTTCACCGCTAATTGAATGATTCTAAGATTTCTAGATGTGAAAAAACCTTGAATTTGAATAATGTTGAGCATTGAGAAGCGGTAGTGCGACGATCACCCGGTTACTTTTTCTATGGACAAAGTCTGCATATTGCCCAGGACTGGGGTATCTCGCTCTTGTTGTGATACATGATAAGTTCTAACTTTACAGTGTTTAGAGTTACGATTTGGAGTTCGGTCGGGACTAGGCCGATAATAATGGTTATGCAAATAAGACAAAGGAGTATGCAAGCCTCATCAACAGTTTTACTGAGTACCAGCCGTTTATCAATCCCAACGCTTAATGGTCTCTTGTAATCCAGGGGAATATTTCACTTCTGAAATTTGAACAACATGAATGAGGGACCTTGAACTAGAACGAGTAAAATAATAACAGCATCACCAGGTTATGATCTTTTCCTGGCCAGGCACTCCGTCAATATACTCCTGCCACAGCCTAAGGGATGCTACGGCACTTCTTTCCCCTAGGAATTGAAAACTGGTAACGAAAACACGATACAGTGGATAGGTGCCGTTGTCAACCTCTTCGACGCCTGTACCCTTTAAGATGGGAATGCGCTCCTGGGCATCTGGTGTCGATTGATCTAACTTTGAACCCTCCATCTCACGATCAAGTATAGCCTCGAGGATACTGGCCGACATGAGCGTATCCCAAAACCCCTCTAGTCTCGGTCGACGGAGAAGCGATATGGCCCGTCTTCGCGTGTCATACCCAAAGCCAAACTGGACAAGAGTTCGTATAGGGTTTGTTAGGCCAAGCCTTGGTAGGATATACTCTCCATTTCCACGGCCATAACCATGTGCTTCCATGTCAAGCACCTCTTCCATCAGATCTACTATCGTGCTGCATAGCTCCGGTAGCTTCCTGAACCGCGAAACAGGGTTCGGGGTATCTGGGTCCGTATTGAGGAGAAGGGAGCTGGCCAGCTGGTAGAGCTGGATATACTTCAGGCCTTTGCGAATCTGGTGTCGGACTACTGGTCCCCAGTTTGCCTCATCCGAAGACAAGGAAGCCCACTGCTCAAACGCTGCCATGGTATGTTGGATCTCTGAATAGCAGTTTGTGTAGGGCCTTTGCTTCCGCGTGATTGAAGGAAGTTGTACTCGCCGACTTAAAAACAGGTTCTTCAAGTCCTCGGCATGTTTATATGTGAAGAGAACGAGCTCGAACATCAGTGACTCGCTTGCACACATGGCTAGCCTTATGCTCTCAATGGCCAGACCTTCCTCCGGGATTGAATCTTGGTTGGGGCCGCTGTAGGAGAGACTGAGGCTAGATTTGGTATTGCCGGGCGGTTTGGGTGCTGTTCCGCCGGCCGCGTCACCAATCTCGAGTAGTGAGCGATCACGTACTTGGAAGCCCGCCAATACAGCCTGGACCGACGAAAGGGTTACGGGGCAGGATCGTAGGACGAGATCACGTTTTCCAGGATAGGGTTTTGCCCTTTTTTGTCCCGCTTCCTCAAGCTGTTGATAAATCTTGAACCCATGTTTAAAGTGCATACGTGCCTGTTCAAACCGTCTATCAACTAGACTGATGCAGATGAACAGGATGCATGTGGTGAGAATACGCCATTGACTCTCCGTGTGGTTTGAGTGAGGCTGGGTGAGCTGCTGGATCGCCAGGTTGGCCTGCTGAAGAGCAAATACATTAGTTTCTACCGGATGATCGCGGTCAAACTTGTAATCACGACAGAGAGCGCTCAAAGCCATGACGGCATGGAAGACAGCGTCATCCTGCAGGCAGAATCTTGGGATCTCACGGGACCAGAACTCTGTATCGAAGGGCCCAGCGAAGGTGGGGGCAATGATAGAGATGAATTGATCAACGGCTAGCTCACGTGGATTCCGGCGAGGAATCAGGAGTCTTGTGTCTGTAGCAATGTTGTTTGCCGGGCGGCCCTTGCTGGATAATGAGGATGTTCGGGACGTTGATGGCCCCCAGATACATTTGCGGCTGTTGCTTCGACAGCGATAACAGACAGGCTTCCGCTTGTCGCAGCGTATCCGCGCATTCCTGGGAACACAACACAGGGTCAGCAGCTAGATACCGGCGCTTGCCCTTCTCGGCAAACGCCCCGTCGAGGAGAGGAGAATACCTAAGGCAAGGCAAGGGAAAGCGAATACGGTCCACTAAGAGGGCCAGTAACCAATGGATAGATACATACCTGCAGGTGAGACAACCTTGACCTCTAGAAGGAGGAGACGACCGCACTGGAAGAGATGCACCCATCAGGCTATTTGGGGTTCAGAGTTGAGTGGCTAGTCAGCTGGCGATTGACATTGATGAAAAATGGGACACATTAAAGGGTCCTAGTGTTTCGGAGTTGCAAGGATGATCATGGATGACGATGTTGCCTTCATGCCTGACTAATGCGTTTAGGTGAATGGATACCCTAGAGGCACAACAATGGACAACTTGAGATACATCAACGTTCAAAACTGATACCTTGTTGGCGAAGATGTCAGGAGACAACTGACATCTGTTGCAAAAATGATATTCTGGATGGCTTCTCATATATACTCTTGGGAGAAATCTGATACCTGTACGTCCATCACCCGAGGTTATCATATAGTTACGAGGGACGTTCCAATGAAGAACAGGTCAGCGTACACAACAGCCAGACAGGCATAATTACAGGCAAGATTTATTGAACAGGCTGTTCTCTTCTAGACTAAGGTTCTACTTTACTCTGTTCCCTGAAACTCGTTTCAACAGATCAATGCTTGATGTCAGACTTAGCTTTCAGCCCTTCTTGCATAACATTCTGGACAACCATTCTCATTGTGTCGCCTTTCGCATCCGGATATAGTTCCTGGAAGTCGAGATAGCCCAAATACTTGGCGATCTGTGGAGTGTTGTCGCCTCTCAGTCCGTACGAATTGTAGTACTGGTTCATGATGACTTTGAACTTGGCTTCCCAATCGTCCGGGTTTGCCTCGAGCGCTGCTTTTCCGGCAGCGAGGTCCTCGAATATCTTCTCTGCCGATTTCTATTATTCAATGGGTTATTAGACTCTTTTCCCTAAAGTCCGTCGCGTGCGATCTTACATATATCTTTTCAGTCTTTTCCCCACTTTCTTCCTCGATAATGTCGACGACTTCATTATATGTCAAGACGTCGGTATAGCACAACACTTTTTGATTCAAAGTCCGAGGATCGGCGAGGACTCGGGCTATGTATGGACCAATGTCTGCTGTGCTTGTAAAGGCACACTTGGCATTTCCATCACCTGGGATTATGCGCATTCGCTCGAGAAACCAATGGCTCGTTCGACCCGAGGGAAGAGGAGCCGCCGACAAGGCTTCCTGAGACCACCACCCAACATCGATCACGGTATAGGACAGATGGAGGGTGAGGATTTCATCAAGAATGTCCAGTTTCTTTTACTCGTCAGCCATACTCTCTCTTTCCCCCCCCCGACAGGTGTTCCTCGTACCAAGTCATTTGTCAGGTTAATGCCGCGAATGCCTGGTGTCCCAAAGTTGCAAGGAACGAATCTCCCCACACCGGCCTCCTTGGCAGCTCTAGCAAGAGTCACCTGGTCGAGCAAGGCGTTGAAGTGGAGAGCGGCGATTACAATGTCGATTCCCTGCAAAAGCTCAACTAGGTCTTGTTTTGGGGCCTTGGTGTCAGCTTTGATGACGGTGACGCCACGCTCTCGAAGCTTTTCGTTGGCAGCACTATGAAAAGAAGATTCCCTGGTCATGTTAAAGACTTCCTAGTAATTGACGCGTTAGGTGTTTCGGTAGTGCGTTGTCGACATGGCCACTTACAAAATTAGCGCTAGAGGCGAGAAGACCGTCCACAATAAGTGAGCCGGTCTGGCCAGTGCCGCCAAAAATTGCGACTTTGATTGATGCATCCATATTGTGATCCTGTCTTGTCCTTAACATTAGGAGTTTGTTTGGATTTTAGTGTGTCCAAGGACTGTTGAAGCCGCAATTATATACTTGTCAGATTCTTTGAGCAAATCCATCCTGTGCCATATTCACCTTCCTAAAACGGAAAGAGTGTGGGATGAGGCCCTGAGGCATCTTCGCATCAAAAGTGGCCATAACGGCATCATTAGACTGCCCGACCATGGGTTAATCGGATGATTTCTTGCCGATTATTAGAAATCAAGTTTGGCGGTCTGTAATGAGTCTGCAAGAACTGGCCTTTTGACAGGGAGGAGGCAGTTACCAAAACGGCAATGAGGAAAAGAGATACTGGCTGACGGTTTATGCTTAAAATAACTCTATGGGATGATGTATCAGTGTATGTACTCTGTGGCGCCAAGATTCTGCCCTAATCCACTGTTTAATGGCACTCTTGGCACGTTGTACTCAGCATAGAAACCATGCGGATATGATGTGGGAGTTTCTGATTCCATTTAATCATGCTACTCTTGTCTCGTCGCTATGCCATTCACTTAGCTTGAGCTGTCTGCCTTCCAACACTGCATAGATGCAGATCGATTTTTGCATTGGCGTAGCCCTACAGATGAGCAATGAGTCTATTCGAACCAATAGCTGAGACATCAGACTGAGAGATGTCGCTCAACGACTCGCAGCCGGTTAGGTGGCGGGCTGCGAAAACAGACCACCGCCTCCTGGCGCTGCGTGTTTCTTTACGTAGGTAAGAGAAAACAGAACAAAGTTCAAAAGCAACGGAAGCTGCCAGAGCCCGATAAGCGTGTTTGTTTAAGCGCGGCTAAATAAGCTCCCATGCATCAAGATAAACCAATGACGAGCCCAATAGCAAGAGATGGTGGTCAGCGCACTCAGATTAGCGTCGGATGCTGCATCTTACCCGCACGGCTCACCGTAGGAATCGGCCTCAGCCGGACTGGGTATGGCTACTAAGTATAGAGTTTAGTCTTGGTGTGGTTGTAAGACGGATGTGACCGAGCCTAGGGGTCTATCTCCCTGTAGCTATTGCGCAGAGCCTCACAGTGGTGAACGGAACCAAGATCTTCTATGGCAATCAACCCGATGGCGTTGTCTCATCCACATGTTAGTTGAGAAAGACAAAGTGCTGAGTAGACATTAAGCGAACTTAGAATAATCCCCTCTAGCTCTTCTAGCCTTTACGTATTGAAATTCTGTTCCAAGGAGACCCAAAGGCCGAGACAGTGTTGAGGAGCATCGGTTGGCGAGTCGAGTCAAGCTGCTTCAGCTGTAGCGCGCAAAGCTACAATTGAACGCCAAGAATAATCGAGCCCAGAAGAGAAACGTGTGGTCGATAGGCAAAGAATTTTGGGATTTGTGGGAATCCATCCTACGAATTAGGCGCTTAAGCTTATGCCATGACTGCCGTGCCGAATCGTATCTGCGCGTTACCCTTGACGGGCCTCTTTTCCGCTGCCGGAACTCGAGACACGTGGCTTTTCATCTATTAGGCTATTGGCATGTCTAGCACGCGACCGAACGTCAGCCTGGAAGAAAGCTGGACGATACTATCGATTTGGTTGTAGCTTCGTCATTGCTCTAGTCCGCTTCCTGAATCACAAATCATTAAAGAAATAAAAATCACTCATTAGTTAGTTCGATCGAATCATTTTGGAACCTTTTTACATAGGTTTAAGGCTGAGTGAATTAATATGAACGATGATCGCGCCATACCAAGGTGCCTTGGTATATATTCCGGTGAGGCTGGCACACTCGCTTAGAAGGGGCTGAGCTGAGACATGCACACACGCTGACTCTTGCCGCTGTCGGGGTATTATAATCCAAGGCTGCGTGTTTTTAGAAATCTGATGGCCCAAATTAGTCGTTCAGCTCACTTGGGGGTTCAGCTGATATGCATTGTTGATGACTTTCGTCAGTGTTTGGTGTAGTATTGTGCAAATAAGGCTCTAGGCGCTGCCAATTGTCCCGTCAGATTTGCCGCCCGCACTCCAGGGGTTGACATTCAAGATTGATTGAAGAGCGAGCCTGATCTGGCCGGCGATGCCTAGTTTGAAGCCTTCTAGAAAGAGTATATATTTACGTTGGGTTCCACGACGGCTGCTTGCATCTTAGACTTCCCTCACCCACAAACAAATTACCCAGCTTTCACCATGAACAACTACAAAATGGCTCCATATTTTATATATACTCTCTTTCTCCCTCTCTTTATCTCGGTTGTTGTCGCTGACCCCTCGGTTAGCATTGCCGCAGCCTACAATGCCGTCATACCTGATGGCTGGGCGCGTTATGTGTATTGGCTACGCCCAGACGGCAAAATTATGATGCAGGCTCGAGACACGACTCCCATGGAACCGGAGGAGATTCAGCAAACAGTCAAGCCCCAAAAGAATTCCCCTCTTGCCGCTCTCTATCGCCGCAAGGACACTAGGACACGTGAGGTAAGCTTGCTCTTTTGTTATTGCTTCTCTACATTTACTCATCATCCGCCTAACAGCTTTTCGTGTCGTACCTCGATAAAGAGGGTAATATGATTGACGTCGCGTGTCGCCATAAAGAAGACAAAGATGCCGCTTGGAAATATGTCGATTGGAGTACTCATCAGCTAAAATACAAGGCATCCTCTGGACTCGCTCTCGCTGAAGTGGACAATGAGCTCCGACGGTTCTACATCGACGATGAGGATTACGTGACGCAAGCGATGGACGACAAGATAAGTCGACTTGGACCAAAGGCAGCGCGGGGATCTCAAGTCTCGGCTACAGTCCCTATCGGGTCTACTGACATTCATGTCTTCTATATTTCTGAGGATAAGAAATCCCTTGCTTCTCTAACGTTTAACGGAACGAATAATAGGTGGTATACAGGTATGGTCATGATTTATAAACGTCCACATATGAATACAAACTGACATTGCTGGTATGTATACAGACTATCTACCCCCTATCAAAGATTTCACCAAAGATCCAAAGTCCGGTTTCTCCGCCGCGGCCTGGTCAAATTCCTCGACCATCCGAGTATTTTACATCAATAAAGACCGCCTTACCAGCGAATGGACGTTAGAAGGCGGATCATGGATCGACACAACCGACACCCTGTCGACCGGTCTTGCAGCTGAGCCTTATGGCCCCGTTGCGGCTTCTCGCAGCGTGAATGGCTCGGGGAGATACCTCCAATATTTCTACACCGCGGATGGAGGTCAGATCAATTACCTGGCTAAGAACTCTGAATATAGCGCTCCCTTCACGATTGGGTTTGCCAATTTCGATTTTGACCGGGGTCAGCCATACTCAAGAGAGGAGAAGATTGCCCTTGGGGTTGGAATTGGGGTGGGTCTTGGGGTTGGCATTCCAACATTGATTGCTACCGTGATAGGATTGAAATGTTGGAAACGCCGCAGTGGGAAGGACGTAGTAGAAACAAGCAGCAGTGATTAAGATTGATCATATGGCAACTGTGGCTGGTGTCAACGAGGTGTCATTGTACCCAACGGCTGGTGGCTCAATCTAGAATATCAGAAGAATATCGAAGAACGGGTTTTACTTTTTAATTCCTTGGGTTTTATTAGAGTCTCCTCCTTTCCGAACCTTTACACCGACTTGCAGAGCCGCAAAGCCATGCGATAGTATAGGCCGTTGTCTACATCTGATTCAGCATTCTTCAGAGTTAGAGAGGGGTTTGTAAACATAGGTAATAGTTAATTATCTAAGATTAAGAAACCTTTTAGTAAAAAGAACTAAGCGCGGTTTTGTTGTCGGAAAAAGCACAGCACCTTTAATGCTTGGGACTAACTAGAGTAATCTCATAGCAATGATAACTCTTCAACTCAAATTGGTGTTTTTTGGACATCGAGTAAAAGGTTACCGAATCAGGAACGGTTCGTGCATGACTAGAAACTAAGATGTCTTCTAACTAGCCCATTATCTGTACCAACCTTAATATTTATTTACTAGTTGGGACTGACCAAAATGATTCAATAATAATGCTTGATGGAAATCCTTCCATTTCCCACTATCTAATTCCTCTCAAGATCTCGTTATCGTGATAGGAAAGCTAGAAGCTTATATGGGCTGTCGGGAGAGTCGCAAGTGAGAGAGCTGTGCATGCATGTGCTATGTAGTAGACTAATAGTCACTAAGGAAATGGGACAGGAAGTCATAAACATCAAGAATATGTAAACTGATGTTATACCCAGCATCAAAATACGACCAACACCTCAAAGTTTGACTTTTCTTACCCAGTCACAAGGCTTACGCCCGGCCGGACATAAGGCTCGAGGCCAAAAATTGGCTTGACACCATACCCAGTGTCACAGCACATTAAACTCCAGCCTTTTGCCCGGCTACGAGGCTTGTGCCCGAAAGATGAAGTTTATATCTCCCCTTATGACTATATGCGATTCGCGAAGATTCCTTGTGGCAACGGCTCGTGACTCAAGCTGTGAAGGTTAGGATGATACAGTTTCATTGTGATCAGCTTTACGAAGACTACATCGTAACCCGGGCAAAAGTTTGCCTTAATTCTTACGTCGTAATCTAAGGGGCTGGATTCCTTTCCTAGGCTTTTCTTCATTTGTACCGTTCGCAAGAAGAGCTCAGTTGGGGTTCAAGTTTAATATCATCATTCCTAGGGGGGTTGGGTGAGTATAAGGGAGAATTACCGTCACTTCTCTATATCAAGAACCAAGCTTTTCGCTTATTTTCCAGGACTAGAAAAACAAGAACTTAATAGTTATCTTTTGAGCACCGTGAGGTTAATTCAGATGCGCCTATTAGCTTCCGAAGCTCTTGAGGAACAAACTTTGACGCTATTCACATCACCTTGATGGCTGAGCATGTGACACATGATATGCATAGAGGCTCCGCACAATCGTCGTAAAGACCGAAGAAAGCTTTCTAGTGCGAAAGTATATTTTGCAAGCAAAATTTACATATATCACTTTTGTGCTATAAATGGCGACCATCCTCTTGCTTGTTACAAACCCTACTTCTTGCCCATCAATGCTCAGCTCGGAATCTATGAAACAAATTCCACGTTACAAGTATACCTGATTCTGTCCCTCTCATCCTACGAAAGAAATTCTTTTCCGCAGGTCTGCATCCTACAGCTCGCCAACAAACACAAAACATCCAAGCCTGCGGGATTTCGCGTTACATTATGCTGAGACATTTGAAATCAACCATGTCTACCGAGCCTCAAGAAAAGGTTACAGGAAAAGATCAGCCTCCATCCTATATATCACCACCTCCACTTGAGGTGACCTGGGACTTTCGATGTCTGGAGAGCCTCAGAGCCCGCCAAGAAGGCTCATCAATCGCGGTGGAGCTTGGCCAATTCCTCCCTGGCAAGTTTGGGGGCGGCAAAATCAACTTTGCAATGATATCCAACCCTGCTGTGGTTAGAGAATCATGGTGGGAAGCGAGTGTGGATGTCAGCGTCAAGAGCTTGCCCAAGTCGATGAGGGAAGGGTGGTCTTGGTCCGAAGACAACATCGACAGAGCTGGGGGTCAGCTGATCATCAAATCGACCGACCTTAACCAAGTCATACAACAGGCCGGCTGGCGCTGCGGTCGTAGATACAAGCTTGTTGACCGGGCTGAGGATCCTCAGTGGGAGGCAGTTGTTTGGATCTACGCCAAGGACCTGCAAAGTTTATCCTGCGTTAAACTGGAGCAGCTCCCCCATGAGAAGGCGACAGCGACGTGGGCAACAAACGAGAATAACCGCCTGGCCTATGTATTCCACCGAAAATCTACCCACCTAAATTTCAACGCCATCTATGATGAGATGCCATTGACTGGTTGGTGGCCTTGGCCGCGAGCTGATGGGTCTCGCCTCTAGCTTTTAGGTGGTTCTGTTGAATACCACCCTAAGACTATGACTTAGAAGAGGAGAGTTTCTTGGGGCAAAGCACTATCCGTATTAGTTTGACAGTAATAACTAGAATTCATTATCTCTATCAACAATTTAGGAAGAAAATCGTGATCACCAAACGCTTCAGCAGATTATACATGTCAACATACGAGCAGTAACTGAAGGAGGTATGCAAGTAAGTTCCATGTATGTACTACCTAGTCGCTGGAAAGCAGGGGAGTTGCGGGACACGAAGAGATCGACAAATTGATCCAATGTCTAGCATCATAACATGGGCAACACGTACAAGTTCAGCCTTCTTGGCCGTCCATAAGGTATAGAGACTTCCGCTCGGCTGCACTGGAGGTTCAAAAAAAGTTAGTTAATAATACCTTACTTTACCTCAGGGAAAAGTCCTTCTTTCTTAGATATATAAGTTATTAAAGTAATATTATTATTAATTAACACCGCAACGCCTTTGCCAAGATCATCAACACGAACCGACGACCCAATTCCTCCATTGAGATTATCGAGCGTGCCGCAGTACCCATCACCGGGGAGACGTCTGTGCATCGCCCGGGGACGACGATTTTGGCGCCGGCCCTAAGCTTGCAATGTCCTGGCATCCTATATGGGCGGCTGCGCAGCAAGGCGTGGAGCCCTAGTTCTGCAGCGTCTGCTGTGGATAGTCCAGGTGCATGATGGGTGAAGATGATGATTGTCCTCTCACACTCGCTCAAGACGTAGTTAGACACATCGTCACCTAGGATACGTAGCCGCCACAACGCAGTTCCCGTGGCCTCACGCTTGACACAACGCCTGAACCTTCTCATAGAGCTTCTTGGCGTTGAGCACGCCTGCATTCGTGAACACGGATGCCCTTCCCCATGATATCGTCTAGGCACTCCTAGCTGCTCGATAAAACCGTTTTCGTAGCCCAGATCCGAGTCTACCTCCTGCTTAGTAATGGCGTTTCACGCAATGTTCATCTCAGATAGCCAAGTCACCTGTGATGACGTCCACGTTGCCAGACCAGGACCATGCGGCTCATAGTATGGGGATGGTCACCAAAGGCCCGGACAAGTTACCAATTTTATGGGCGACTTCTGAAACATGGCGACGTGCAAATCGACTCGACCTTAGTGATCGAGCACGAGTGAAATGAACGTTTGAGCTGGGCAAAACGAAAGCTTTTACGGCGCGTTCGATTGTGTAGAAACGGCCCTGTTCCGCATATCCTTTACATGCATGTAAGATGACTTCCATAACGTTCGGGGATCTGTTTTGAAGTCGGAGAGTCTTGATACAAGAGAACCAACAATCTCACTGCCAGCAAAGCCACCTCCTCGTCTGAATCCCAATTTACTAGACTTGTATCCACCTGGTGTATCATCAGGTTCCATTATCTTGAGAAAAGACCTCCGAATGAAATCTGTAGCAGATCCACCAGCTGTGGATTGTAAGCCTAGGAAGATTCCGGCATTTACTGGTGGCCTGTGAGGATGACCTTGCTAAAACGGCACGTGACCGGCTTTTCCGATCGGGTGAACCGCTGAGAGTTTCTCGGGATGAAGGCATTGGGCCTAGACTATGTTCTCAATTGACTAGAAACGCTAGATCGCTCACATACTTGGCATCCGAAGCTACTCGGGATAGCCGATCATGTCGGGGCCGAGATCGGCCCTTGCCGACAAGTGAGATACTAGGAAAAGTACCAGTAAATGACTTCAATTTTATAAGTAAGGTGAGAGCAGGCATGCCTAAGCCCTTTCCTACTGTTGCTAGAGCTATAGGAACTTGGCTAGTGGCGCCTGCAAACCACTCGACATGGATTCTGCTACCTCCCGGCCCACTGTCGTGGTGGTTGGGTTAGTATTTCTACAGTTGTCTTAATATTAAGTGACGGGAGCTTGCTCACGTTGTATAGATCTGGAGTAATTGGTATTTCTTGCGCGCTGAAGCTGCAAGAAAGAATCTCACAATGGGAGTCCGGCCAGAAGCCTGAGGTTCTTCTGGTGGCGCGGGAATGGCCCATGTCACTCCCTGGTTCACCTACCTCGCACTCTGTCGATTATGCATCTGTTTGGGCTGGCGCACATGTACGCCCAATACCAGCAACATCTCCTCAACTCCAGTGTGAGGCTAGATGGTTGAAGCATACGACCGCCGAGTTCGATCGATTGCTGCAGAGCTACCCCTCCATTGGAATTACGAGAACTAAGGGTGTCGAGCTCTTTGAAGACCCAACATCTGACTATACAGCGCAGTCAGCTGAGAGTTTCTCCTCAGAATCAGGCTTGTCTGGTTATAGGAGCCTCCAACCAGTTGAGCTACCAGAGGACGTTGTACTGGGATTTGAGTACGACACATATTGCATCAATTCTCCAGTTTATTGTCAGTATCTCCTGCGTCTGTTCATTCTGGGAAAGGGAATTACTTTGCAAAAAAGCCTGCGAAGTGACTCAGAGGCCTTCAGCCTTGCTGAAAACGTCTTGTTTGTGGTCAATGCAAGTGGAATAGGTTTCAATGACACGAAAGTCTATCCGACGCGCGGTATGCTTATACGCTCTGTGTATTTGGTGCGTCATCACTGAGTTAAATATAGGTCAAATTGTTTTAACCGACTTCGTCGAGGCGGACAAGACTGTCACTCGACAGAACAAAGATGGTAGCTGGAGCTTCGTGATCCCACGTTTTTTTGCTGGTGGTACCATCATTGGAGGGACGAAGGATCCAGGCAGCTGGGACTCACTCCCTCAAAAGGACACGCGCCGTGCTCTACTGCAAAATGCTTCATCGATATTGAATTTGGCATCTGCAGCGGATCATTCATCTCAAAGGTCATCGCATGACCTTCATGTAGTGGAAGACATTATTGGACGCCGGCCAACGAGAGATGGGGGCGTTAGGTTGGAGCTGGAGACTCGGACCTTTCTCCTAAGCAACAGTAGATCTGGTCACGGTCACATCATTCATGCTTATGGTGCTGGTGGTCGTGGCTATGAGCTGTCGTGGGGAATTGCAGAAGATGTGGCTTGCATGGCTGAGAAATTGCTCGGCAATGACAGGCTCTCTAAACTGTAGGAAGGTGGACTTTAACAAGATGATCAACGCTACAAAGTTCAGGACAACTAGGTTGCAATGTCAGTTTGCGCCTAACGCATTTTACTTATCTATCGACTACAGCCAGAAATCTTGTGTGAGGTACATTCAGGTCTCCAAACCTGGCAGGGGCCGAGGCGGCCATCGTCAATTCATCCCAGTATCTTGGATTGAAATATTCATGTTTCACTAATGTAGAATTCTCACAACTTTGCTTGCTTTTCTCCTTTGTGGCGCCTACACATTGTGAGATTAGCTACACCTAGGGACAGAAAGCCTCCTTGGACTCACCTCACAATTCCAATACATTTTATTTCAACGTCCGTGTTGCCAGGCAGTGTTTTCACTGCGACACATCTGTATTGCTCAGCACTACTCCATGACCTTCACTACTCGAACTTACTCACGTGCGAGCTGGTTTCAGGTTGCCAAAGTATTGTTGGTAGATTTGGTTCACTTCACCGTACTGAGCCATATCAGTCAGGAAGATGTTTACCTCGATAACGTCTCCGATGCTGGAGCCTCCGGCTTCGAGTATCGCAGTAAGATTTTGGATGCAACGATGCTGCGGTTTCCATATGGATTAGTCAATCATAGGAGGTGGTATGGGTTGAGATCGCACTCACCGTCCGGGCTGTGATCGGACCCTCGACCAGCTGGTCATTTTTCGCCGGATCTTTTCCAACCTGTCCAGAGGTATACACGAGACCATTTGCCACGATTCCTTGGCTCATAAGCTCTGGTTTTGTGGCAGGTGCCCTGCTAGTTTCAATCGCGACGCGCAGCGGCCTTGTGGCATGAGAAGTGTGCGAAGAAGCCATTTCTTCAGAAGCGATGGAGTATTCAGTGAAGTGTCGAGTCTACTGTGACAATCTTCTTTATGAGATGCTTAGGGTGCCTTTATATAGCGTAGAATAGGGAGCTACCGACCTCATCGGCTCTTCTCCACATCTGGGCCGACGCATCGGGTTCGTGAGCTGCCGAGAATCGGGGAGAAGTGTCAAGGGTATAAATGCAACTGAAACTGTAGACTAACTCCAAATGGCAAGCTGCAATGCTCCCTATGTGTCCCCATTGTGAGATTGTGTCTAGGCGAACGAATACCAATATGCTGTCGATGGTTGCAAGCGCAGCAACTTCTAGTCCCCCATTGATCGCACCCTCGACCCCATCGTCCTCACCATTCACAATCAAACGACCCTACCGGCGACCCATAGAAATAGAATTCCTTAGCCGTCTGACAAGCGTCTAAGGTTGATGCACATAATCTTTGTGTCCATACGAGCACAGCGTCTCTAGATCCCAGCGCTGATGTTCTGCGTGCCAGGTCGTGACAATTAGGATATTGTGTAGTATTAGCAAAGATAAGTGTTTTGAAAAATTAAGACTAGTGAACTATTTCTAGAGTCTTATACCTTAGAACCTAGGTAGATTAAGTAGTTATTTCCCTACGATAATTAGTTAACCCATAGTTGCGGAGAATAACATAAATAACTGCGGCTGCATTCCTAAATCAATGACTTATTATTGCTTGGTTCAGTAAGAATTCTAAGTTATATACCATGTGGTATTTGGGGCAGGGTTTAGTCATGAGTGTGGTGAGCAAGTTATCCTTGACCAGAAATCAGTTTCTGCCAAGGCCCAGCTATCATTCTCCAAGCTTGTGACTTTCCCGAGTTTCCCGTCCACGAGCTCCGAGCATCCCTCTCCAAAGACCATCGCCTGTTTTGCTTCATTATACGGGGCCCAGCGAGGTCTGTCCGGTATAGAATTTGGAATTTGATTGGGACACCCTGTTGTAATGAAACTGGTGATATAAGAGTTAAAAGTTTTCGCCAGTCGCGCTTGCGTGAAGGATGCATTTATGGCGGATGCATCACATACTTCGTACCTTTTATTGTCGCCGTGTCGAGCGCCATTTAGCTCCGAGCTTACTGCCGCCCATTGATAGAGATAGACGGGCTGAGTCATTGCAGCCGAAGCAAAATTTGCTGTTTGTCGCACTGGAGCTACATAGGCATAATGAGCATATGCGGCTTCCACTCGCTTGTACTGGGCGCCAACTCCACTTCTGGTTTCGACATATTGACAGCGAGGCTGCATGGTAGGGTCCGGGTACAGCTCCTTCAGCTGATTGTTGTCCGCTTTGGATAATTTGGGAAGAAGGTTCCCAAAGAAATCGTTAAATTGTGAAGAGGTTTGCATAGACTTATTCACGTACAACGACCCTTCGTTGCGGCAGAAGCCGGTCAATATCGGCATCTTGTGCCAAAGCCCTAAGCGCCAAGTATCGAGAGGTGGTCGTCGTATGATTTCACCATCGATAACAGGCTGGAATGCCCACCGGAGGCTTGTGTTGTAACGATCAAAGATGGTCTCTTGTGCTTGTGTGATGACCTCCAGTGGTACCGACCTGAGAAAGTCAAAGATTTCGTCGTCACTGGCATTTTCTGGACTGCCAACTTCGCAGAGAAACTCGGCAAATTGTTGCTGATGAAAAGGTGAATCATATGAGTGCAGGGCACGAGAGGTTGGTGAACCAGATTCCATGATGACCCTGTTGAAACATGGTTTTGTGCCTACATCGTAATTCATCATGTGATGGCCAATCTGGTATGCATTGTTAGCGGACGGAGGCCTGTGAAGCATAGTTGTCTTACCGAATGGGCTCCTGCTGAGAGTCCCATCAAAGTCACTTCAAGTGGGTTACCACCGAAAGAAGCAATATTCTCTTGCACCCAGTCGAGCAGGGCGATCTGGTCTTTCAGGCCGAGATTCAGTAGCCCTTGGTTGGCCGTAGCTGTTGAAGGTAGAAAGCCCAACGCGCCGAGTCTGTAGTTGAATGAGACAGCAACAAATGGTTGTGATGACCAAGCTAGCATCGATGCAGTGTTGTGCGAAGAAGAGGTTCCGCGATTAAAAGCCCCGGCATGAAAATAAACCACCACTGGAAGCAGGCCAGTCGCGTTCTCGACATCGACTCTGGCGACCCGGTATATATTTACCGTCAGGCAATCCTCGCTGTATGTCATGGCACTGCCCGGTAGAAGTTGCTTCCCAGGCGCAGCAGGACCAAGGCGAGTGGCATCATATGTATTCGAGGACACCTCGACCTTTTCCGGAGGTCGAAAACGTAGGTTTCCGATAGGAGGTTTGGCATATGGTATTCCTTGAAAAGCTTCTATCGATCTAGGCAAGTCAAGCGTCAGAATGGTGCCGATGTATATGCCTTGTGCGATTTGCACCCAAGGTGGTGTATTTTCCATTGCCACAAGGGTCTCGCCCGTCGGATTCAATCAAGTAGTGTAACGAGAGCTGTAATGAGGGGCACGAAGCAGATTCACTATCTAGATGAGCGATCTAGATAAATTTATTATCATAATGTAAGCATCATCGGTGTGAATGTTGGAGTGGCCCCTGCGGCTGGCGAAAGGGGCCACGGCCTTCAAAAGTAGATCCGGGAGTCTGCTCCTCCTGGGCCTAATTGTGGAATTTCTAGATCGGCTTCTCCGCGGCTAGGTCTCCGATTCCGTGCTCGCTTCGAAAAAAAAACGGGCCTAGATAGGGTCCAAAAGAAAGCGGAGGAGGATCACCGATAATGTGAGCCGACGATTGCTCAACCGTTGACGAGTGAGTCGCACATGCATACTAGACCGCGGTGCTGTTGGAGAGCCAAAAATCATCACATTAGAAGTTGAGTCACAATGCACAAGTCAGTAATCTGTTCTTTTCATGATGGGGTCACTGAGCCTAGCGAACATGTTCCTGTCGATATTTTGAGTTTATATGAAGCTTGCCTGAGTTGTCAACACGCCAAATCAAACATGCACATGTGATACATTTGGTTCGAACTGTCAAACAAGTATTGGCTTATAGAATCTATTTGGAAAATATTCGGACATACTAAACTAAGACCCTGCGCGTAACGCACAGCTCGCTGAGCTCCAAGACCCTCACAAAAAGCCCAATCGAATCTCTCATTTTTTACCAAAATGATTTTCCCAACCTTCTGATGCCAGGCCAGCCTTGGGCCCAAGCCACTACCGAAGACCATGGAGGACCACGTGTGCGTGACAAGTCAACAAGATTCACTCACCGGTCCCAAGCTGTGCTGCTAAGTTTTGATGCTGAAGCATCGTCGTGATGCTCCTTCAAATGACATAACGAAAATACGGGTTCTGAATCTTGTTATTGTTCTGCATTGCGCGATATACCATTCTTGACGTACCTCAAAATCTGTCAAATCATTCTCGGTGCTTTCCTCGTTTTGGTTATTCGAAAACGCCTGAGCTTCGTCACGCTTTTTGTTTCGCCACATTAAGAAAAATCGGAGGATTATGGCAAGTACCATTTGGCCTACTGCACACATCAAGACGACGGTACAACCCGTGGGGTAAAATGGACTTTCCTCTGCTAGGAATGCGTGCGGTCCAATGATGTTTCCAACGCAGTATGCTGTAAACACGATTGCCGACGCTGTGACTCGTTTTGTGTAACCACCAAGGTTGACCGCCGGCATTTGTAAACCGAGAACCAGTGAGGCCACGAATGAGCCTTGGATATAGTAGCCGAACAGAACCCCAATTCTGTGTTGCTCTCGATCGAGTTTCCAGAGAATCGATACTCCGATGATGGTTGGGATCATGTACAGAGCCATGACGACAGTTCGGAAGTTTTTGATCTTTGATGCTAGGAACGTACCGCCCAGGATCCAGAAGACTTGGAAAGCTCCGTGAGGAATTCCCAAGGCCGTAGTCAACAGCGGATCTTTGACTAGGCCCTTGATGATAAGTTTGCCAAAATTAGCTATACCGCCGTTGATGACCTCATTTAGTAATGTGAACAAGGTCAACAGCCACACCTGGGGATCCAGGAGTGCTTCTTTTATCTGGTAAAGTTTGATATGCTTATCCAAGACTCCTGTCCGTGCTAAGCGAGCGCGTCCGATAAGCAATGCTTTCTCCTCGATACTGAATGATTTGGCAGTCATTATGCTGTCAGGAAGGAAGATTAGAAGGACTGCGGCCCATATGACTGTCAATCCGCCGCACACCAAAAAGACAGCCTTCCACACTGGAAAGTTATCAATTTGGCCAATTGCATAGCTGAAAATCCCACCAAGCATTGAACCAACCCCATTACAGCAATAGAAGATCCCAGCACGAAACGGCTGCTCAGACCTTGTATACCTAGTACATCGTAAGTGGCAGTCCAACGAACGCAGGTGATCCAAGAGGCATACCATTGTGATACCATCATCATGAAACAAGTCGTGATCGGGGCTTCAAAAAAGCCAAGAAAAAAGCGGCAGGCAGCAAGGCCCGGCCAATCGGAGCAGGCTGCAGTGATCATCAAAACGGACCCCCAGGCCAAAACACATCCGCCAACAACCTTCGCCATACGAGTTCGTTGGGCGAGGAAAATCCAAGGATATTCTGCCACCACGTATGCGAGGTAAAATATGCTTGGTAGCCACGAGTATTGATAACCGGTGATGCCAGTGCTGGTAAAGAGGTCGAAGACAGCTGAATAAGCCAGTGCCTGTTTATCTATGTATTGCAGAACATAGGTTCCTGCCAACAATGGCAGTAAGAAGCGATCCACCTTCCGCACAAGACGCTTGATTTTCCCGTCATCGGCAAGAAGTGACTGGATATATTCTTCAGACAGATTGTGCTCCAAGAGGAACTTGGCGTCATCCGTGAGACGCGCAGTGGTTTGGGCGGCCACATCTTCAACGTTCACGTCTGCTGTGTCTGGCTCCTTCGAATCTTGTTGATTGGCCATCGTGTGACAAAATAAGACTTGTAGAATCAAAATATTGGATGGAGGGTTAATGACAGACCGAGCAAATAGATGTTGAGTTTCCCAGATTAAAGAAGGCAGGCGTGTATATATACGTATGCAACAACGGTTTTGATGTTGACATAATAACTCTCTGGCCTGCGTCACAACAGTCTTATATGCTGTGGGGGTCCCAGAGTCGCTCGCAGATTACACATGGAACCTGGGGTTAAGGTAAGCAAAAGCTGGGGGTGATGGGATTCGGTGGAGAATTATGAGCACGTGTCGAACGAATCAAAGGGGAAGCCGTTATGGCTACCAGTTCTTGGCGGACCTTAGAAAACTCCAATGGGTGGGAGTGACATACTGGTCCTCGGATATGCCGCGGCTTCCCCTTTTTTCCCTCTTTCCACCCCGACCTTCGACACCGCAGGCTGCACACGACCCTCAAGTACTCTTTTGACAAAAGAATGAGCGTCGTTGCCCGCCGCACTCCGCAAGCATGTATACCATGGTGAGTCGATCGAGCAGTTCTCGCTATCTGCATTCTGCTCACTCTGGATTCGTCAAGCCGGCGTCGGAAAACGAAATGCGACGGAGCAAAACCCACATGCCATGGATGTGCTTCTCGACGTGCCCCATGTGCGTGGGCTATCATGGATTCGATACCATCAACCCTGATAGGCCAGGTGCCAGGGTCGGTCGTGCCGCACGAGGCAAATGGCAACGACCGCTTGAGTATCGCATCATCACCTCATCATCTGTTGCCTGAGGGCGCAGTGCACGCATGTCTCGGATTGTTTTTCCAACGACATTTCGCCACCGACTTTTGTTGCTTCGATATAAGAGTGGTTTTCGAGGGGAAATGCCATCAGAACGAGTCGCTTGCGTTTGCAATCGTGGCTCTCTGCGTCCGGTATTTAACGCTTGAGAGCGTCCAGGATTTGTTCGGGCAGCCCGACCCAAAGTACGTCGAGAGACACTACCTACGCGCAGCGCGAGAAAGGTTCAAGCTCGTGTCCGACGAGCCCAGCAGTAAGCTAGACCTACAAACCCAAGTGGCACACTGCTGACCTCACTACTGTCAGTAATAAATGTGCAAACGGGGCTGGTCCTAGCACTTGCCGAACTCCTGGCGAGCAATGGGCTCCAATATTGGATGACCACAGGCATTGCCATACGCATGGCTCAATATATGAGGCTCAACAAAGAGTACAATGAGGGAGTCACCGTCCAAATGCAAGAAATCCGACGACGCGTATTCTGGTCTTGCTGGGTCTTCGATCGTACGTCGGCTTATCTACTCAACAAGCCTCGTACGTTATCATTAGCAAACGTCGCAATCGCTCTCCCCAACACCGAAGCGGCGCTTGTGCATCACGAAGTCACAAAGGGATGGACCTTGGACGATTTCCACAAGATGAATGCCCGTATGTCTGAGACTGGAATGACGCCCTATTACCTGAAAGCTGTCTCCCTGTGGAGTGACTTGGCGGATTTCTCCGTATGTCGCCGACGGCTGCGGGACAATCTCCCGCCAACAGAACCCCGGAGCGCTTTCTATAAACTCAATGGTGAGCTGAGTCAGTGGTATAATGCTTTGGAGCCCACCATCTCGTGGAGTGTTCCAAACTTTGAAATGCAGCGTCACCTTGGCCAGGGCTCGCTGTTTCTTGCTACTCACTTGCTGAGTCGCAGTGCTGTTTGTGTAGGCCACCAATGCTATCTACCGCACCTTGATAACTACACAGTACTGAGTGGCTCCATTGACGCGGCGGGATGGTCGTATCTTCACCGCGAAGAGAGTCTTATTGAAGCCTGCATCTCAAATGCGCTCTCTGTTGGCGAAATCTTGACGTGGGCTGTTGCAGCACAGGTCTTCCAAGATCACAATGACCACCTACAGCGATTATGGGCCGCAAAGTCAATATTGAGCATTGTGAGGAGTCTACTTTGGATCCGGCACGCTACTGATCCAAAAGTTAGCGAGACTATGCAGGGACTTGCTGTCAAGTACCTTGATGTCATATCTCGGCTTCTATCATCTTGGATCGGCCAATGGAAGGTGGCGAAACAATGGTTGTCAATCGTTGAGGCATTGTCAGCCTTGTGCAACGCGGCTTACCTCGGGGATATTGATGAATCTCTATTGGCGCCGCAAGCGCCCAATGAATCCCCAGATGAAGACGCGTCGAAACAATTTTATCCTCGCCCTGGAAATGGACAACGTTCAACAATAAATGATCCGAATCTGCTGTCGTCTTTGGATCTGGCGGGCTGTGACACAACTTCGAAGCACAGAGACCTGCAGTCGATATGGTGGCAATTGACGGGAGGCTGGCCATTTAGAGTGAGCTTGGAAGCATATACGGATGACGACCAAACGATCGATCCATCAATCTTTGAGTGAGTGCCGTTTCTCTCTCATTCTTTGAGTCCTATCTAGTGAACAAAAATATAATGCGGGAATGCATCCGGATCATCCCGTCCTACCATGCGTGTAGAGGCTACTACTCACTTAAGAAAAACTCGTACATCAAGCGCACGCTTGTCCACGCTCAAATAAGGATGTGCACGTGCTGGGGCATCACCTTTTGTCGTATCGTTCCGTGTTCTCCATCTCCTCCAACTACCCTACATATAAGACAGGATAATATATCTGCGAGTATTATTATAGTACTCTTCAAGTCAATAAATTCCAATATTAATAAACCGTATTATCTTATACTGTTGGAAGGATTCTCGTTGAATCTCTGCCCGGGTCTAACAACTGCGCCTTAGAGCTCCAGATAGGCCTTTCTTCTCCACGTGCTTGCATAGGTAGGCCCCTGGAGAGATTTTGTTTACTCAAACTTCCATTGGTAGGTGCATTGCCCCAACAACCATTTTTTATCTTGCCCTTTGTTGTCAGATCAAAGGAAAGAATGACTTGATTACCAAGAATTACAAAGAACTCAAGATCATCGAACTCCTACCCAACGCCCTGTTTGTGGCAATGGATGAGCTCCCGGATAAGTACGAGCCTTCTGCGAAGTAATCATCTAGCTAGGTAACATGATCGAGCTGCACGGCGATTAAGTGCAGAGAGATATTAAACTGCGCCAATTTTGTTGCCCTGGATTTGTTGCGAGGATGACGACACAGACAGATGGCGACTGAGTTCAGTAGGAAGGTACCTCTGGGAATGGGTATTTAGCTCATATTTCGCACACAACTCGGTACCTAGAGAAAAACGTAGACTTGTCACAAACCGGTACCCATCTCTCTGTTTTGGTGGCTGTCAACCTTTCTTCTCCTCCATTTTCTCTCTTCTTCGCTCTCCTCCTCACACCAACAATAGCAATACCTGGGTATGTCCAAAACTTGTCTGCCCGGTTTCATAAGGGATTGGCTAACTTTGGATTAATAGCTACCTGATCCTCTGCCTCGAATATGGGCTACCTGCCCCGGCTGCTCCCACTTCCACCTCAGCCCCTCACCCGCCCAGCCCGAGCTGTCCGCGACTGCGCCATCAAACCGTACCAGCGAAAGGTCGAACCGCCGAGTCCCGCCAAGTTCGTAAGTACTTGACACGGAAGGGAAGAGTCTTTGCTTTCGTTTGCTGACCAAGACTGCTAGGTGCGGTGGCCGGTGAGAACGTTCGCCGGTCTGGACAGGGAGGTGGAATCCTGCTGGGTCCGGGGGAGGGGCAAGGGCAAGGGGAAGGGGAAGGGGGAGCGGCAGTGACAGTGGCACGTAGCCCTATATCTTGGAAACTGGGGGATCCCAATGTTCTTCTGCGTGCTAATAGCCGTGGTGGCTATGCCAATTTTTGACAAGTAGCGGCGCTATGGTTGATTTTTTTCTTTTCTTTTTAAGCAATAGCAACAAGCTTCATTGGACAGGAAATTTGGCCGACTTGAGACGGAAGCCTATCTCTGAGGCTGCCAACTGGGCATTTTCAAGGTGGCGGAGCAAGTTGGGCGGCAAGCAAGGGTTGAATTTAGTACTTAAGCATCGTCTCCACCAACTTGGACACAACTATTGTTGTGTTTTTGTCTGTTACTGTTTCTTGCGTCTATTATCTTTTCCTGAGTCTTCCAAGTACATATCAGGAAACTTTTTGTTGCACTTGCGATGGACTGTGGCCCACACGACCAATCGGGCGCTTCTGAGACCTCGACGGTAATAAAGGACTCGCAATGTCAGGGGCATCCCCGATTGACGGATCCATGTGTCGAGTATTGGACAAAGTGGGATGAGTTGACACCCTGGTTGAAGGATTCTTTTCAGGAGCACCACATCATTAGGCTGGAAGCTTTCACCAGGCACACTCTCCAAGTATTCATGAGCTTTGAGCCGGAGCTCATAGGCGCAGTTAGTATGTATCAACTTGATGTTCTGCAGCCTCCACAAAATTGCTAATCTCAAGTTGACAAAATATACCCGCCGTATCATTCCCCGAAGAACCTGAAGAGGATGCCTCGTACGAAGAAAAACAGAGATACCTCATAGATTCATACAAGGTCGCCATGGATGTTGCCCTGCCAAAGAAGCAAGACCGATGGCCTAAGCAACGGCGACTCGTACAAACCTCCCTCACGCAATATCGCCCTTTATATCGGGAGCTCAGGCTCGAGGACCCCACCACAACCATCAGACTCTTGGAAGTCCTCCCCGGCCAACCAGATGACCCCGTGATCAAGACGCGGCTTTTCAATGCGAGCCTCCATTCCTTGGGTCACAAATACGAGGCTCTCTCCTACGCCTGGGGTGAGGCGGTGAGCCTGCGGGAGATGCGCTCTATTCACGTCAACTCTTTCAAGTTGCCAGTCACTCCAAACTTGTACAATGCGTTGATCTCACTCCGCCAGCCAGATCGTGCAAGAATGCTGTGGGTAGACTCAGTCTGCATTAACCAGGGTGACCTCAACGAGCGCAGGGAGCAAATCGTGCTTATAAGTCACATCTACTCCATGTCCGAGCAAACAGTCGTGTTCCTCGGGCCATCAACTGCAAAGACTCGAGCGTTCTTCACCTTCCTGTCACTGCCCATCTGCCAACTCTCTCACTGTGAAGAATGCCAAAAGAATCATGCGCGGCCCTCGTGGGACCAGGCTCCCCTTGAGGCTTGTGCCGAGGCTGGGTTGGACGAGCAGGATGTTCTAGATGGCTTCGTGGAAGTTTGCAGCATGTCGTGGTGGACTCGGGTATGGATTCTTCAAGAGTTCATGTTGAGCAGATCAGACCCGTTGATGCATTGCGGTCGCGATACCGTCTCGAACCATCAGTTCACGGCAAACTTTGAATACATGTATGACTGGATCCACCATCGCAAGACACACCCGAAACCTGTCGATGGCTGCACTGCTTGCGGAGGACATGTTGGACAGCAGACCGATGAGGTCAGTGAAGATGGTTCGGAAGACAACGAGCATTCTATCATAAGCGAAGGTGGGGAAGTCACCGATGACTTAGGAGGTGATGATCTCTCAGTGGCGAGCGGAAGTAGTGGTGACGAGGAAGACGTTATTGAAATTGTCCGCCGCCGTCTCAGGGGCCTTCGTCTTGCTCCAAGAAGCACCGACGGCCACGAGTGGAACATCTGGGGAGCTCGCGTCTGGCGCGTGAAGAGTGTGTTGCTCGGACGCACCCTTTGCCGGCCGTGGAATGGCGGCGCGGATGTTTACAAGTATCTCAACTCGAGCTGCAGCGACCCCCACGACATCGTCTATGGCGTGCGAGAATTGGCAGACCACGCCTTTCGGGACATGTTCATACCCGATTACACTATTTCAGTCCCGGACCTCTACACAAAACTGGCAACCTACCTCATCATGATGGAGTACTGGTCAGACCTCTTCTGGTTTTACCCTCACCGCCTCAAGGATAAATTCCCAAGGCGATCGCAAGAGTCAGCCAGCATCCCCTCGTGGGTTCCAGACTTCACTCGGCGTGTGGAACTCAAGGCAGCAGATAGAATACCTGACGAGGAAGCCAAACCGATTGAAAACAACCCATTCATCATTGATCGAGTCCTGTTCGTCACTGGGTGGGTCTTGGATGAGATCTTTCAAGTTTTTCCCCTTCCTAAAAATGACCCTTTCAGATTGTTGCAGCAGCTCTGGTATATCGAGAGAACTCACGGATGGACTCCTTACGAGACAATGAGTGGGAGTTCTTCTTACAATCTCCACGCCTGGGACAAACCTAGGAGCACAGAGGTTCCCCCCAGGGCCGTTCATGCCTTTCCTAGCGTCGCGTGGGCAACAAACAAAGCTGATCCGTCAGATGGCCGCTCCATTGTGCAAACTCTTGAGGCATGCATGAACCTCGAGCGCATGGTCGAAGTTTTTGACAGCGGCTTTGAGCTAGCGGGTCCTTGCCTACGACGTATATTTGACAGGGAAGGGAAAGGATACGGACCGTCAGCCTCACGCGAACACCGGGACGAATACTTGGAGCGGGTGTCTAGCATTCGTGGCCGGATTAGTGATCTCATGCTTCACTTTGTGCACGAAACGGATAAAAGAACAGACTTTATCGGGATCTGTACTTTTGATTTCGAGGGTTTACGTGCCCAAGTCCTCCACAGCCTGATACCCATGACGCCTTGGCAACCTATGAGAATGAATCGACCAAAGTTTGTCAACGAAGAGGTGGACAATATCTGCAATCCTCCCATCGTTAACGCCGATTTGCAGAGACCAATAGTATACAGATCACTACTTGCACTGATCGATAAAGGCATTACGGACGTCGAAGAGCGCATGATGCGACGGGAGGTTGTCATGAACTTCGCCCAAGTCGTGCACGATGCTGCGATGGAATTAGTTGGGGGGCAGAGCGAAGTCACCTATGAGTATTTAGGTGATAACTTTGCGCGTATCTTGGCACGCATTGTGCAATCCAATGACCAACTCAACTCTGATCACGGCCTTCACGCCGACGACTCGAGTAATGCCGGTGGACGTGAGGACCTTGTCGTGGATCATTTTCTCCTATCACCATTTTATGGTGACGAGGCCGACAGCAGCCGTCATGATGGTCCCCTTATTCTCTATAGTGGAAATGAAGAGGAGAACGATCCTTTTTTGGAAAAGATGTATTTCGACAAGGCGGGTCAGCCATTAGGGTCGAGGCCAGTCGAGGGCGCCAGCTCGTTTGAAATAATGTACGACAGGACAATGCTGAGCGAACCCAGGCGCAGGGCTAACAGCATCTACCGCGACAATTCAAGCGCTTTTGCCGACGATGAACTTGACGCAGAACCGCAACGCGCAGATGGCGACGTGGAAGATCGAGAATCTTCAGAGGAAGCACGATGCAATTATCCAACCGATCCGGTGGTTCCTCTGGTTGAGGAATCAGAAGAAGCCACTGACAGCAAGAATGAGACCTACAATACTGTCTCTTCGTCGAAAAGATCTAGGCCTTCCTTCATCCGTGGCGGACCAAGCGGCAGACTTTCCATGTGGCGCCGTACCGAGAAGCGCAAATCAACTCAAGTGCATCTTGTTTTCCAAGATCTGTGCGATTTTCTCGCTGGCCGAGAGTTCTTCATCACCGAGATGGGCCTGATGGGACTCACTGGGCCTGGCGTTCGAGGAGTTTGTGACGGTGACGACTTGCTAATGCTGCAGGACATGGCTTTTCCCATTGTCGCAAGGCTTGAACCTTCAGAGGAGCTGGGGAATCCCAAGATGCGACGCAGATCCATGCCAACATTAAGGATGCGAAGGGAAATAATAGGCTCGGCAATTGTGCGTGGCATCGACACAAAGGGCGGCCATACAGACAAGGTCGAGTTCCCAGAACATTTTGAGCCTTTGAGCGGCAAGAAGTTGGGACTCCTGCGGATCAAGTAACTTGTTACTGTCTAGAGAAGAGTCTATTTGCAGCACAATTATCTGACTTGCGGCAAATATACAAGTACTCGTGAGATGACTCAAATGCTGTAGGCATTTTTATCAACTAAACAACTAAATGAAGGCTTTCTTAAGACAATTGTCACAAGTTGCCTATAGAACCAAGTCATAAGTCTACTACCATGTAATTAAGTGAGAAGATGCGACTTTACACGCACGGCTCCCGCGGAGATAGCGTTTCATGTTAGCATTCATGGACAAGAGTCCCATATGTGACAAAGAATCACTAGGCTACATAAAAGTCTGCTTGCCGGCGTGATAAATATGTTAGGCTTCTCCCGCCTTGCCCGCGTAACAGCCCACTTGCGTGGGCTGTGCGGAGGAGCAACTACTCCGAACAGACCTATCAAGTACACCTGAAAACCCGTCAGTAATTTTTTCATTGAATCTCGTTGCTGTTCCTTTGACCTGTTCAGGTAGTTCTGGAAAAGCTTTCCTTTCAATAGCCTCCAAACTTCTACTTCTTCGTTGTTTAAAATCTGATCAGACACCAAGATGGCCACCAAGACCCCGGTCCTCACCACCAAAGCTCCTCCACCGCTTCCCGGCATCTACAGCCAGGCCATAATCGCTAATGGATTTGTCTACTGCTCCGGTGCTGTTCCCATGGATGCAGAGACGGGAAAGATCATCGATGGTGACATTCAAGCTCACACCGTAAGCGCACATTCCTTCGTATCAACCAAAACCGAGCCGCATCAACTTGCAGCACTGACATTTCTTCTTTCTCAGCATCAATGCATCAAAAATCTGAGCGCTATCCTCGAGGCAGCGGGGACGAGCCTGGACAAAGTTGTCAAGGTCAACGTCTTCTTATCGAACATGGATGACTTTGCGAAAATGAACGAGGTCTATTCCACCTATTGGGGTGACATCAAGCCTTGCCGAACGTAAGTGGTTCTAAATTCTCTGCTAGATCCGAATTTTGAAGGTTAACACCTTTAGATGCGTTGCTGTCAAGACGCTTCCTCTCAATACAGATGTTGAAATTGAGTGCACTGCAGTGCTGTAGTTAGCCGACAGGTAAAAATGGAATTGATCGTGTACATAGCAGAGCATACGCTTGGTAGAAATTTACATAAGTTTTCAATGTTCGTTTTTTTTTCGTAATGAATCCTTTTCATTTTCCGCTCTATGTATAATCAGTAACATACTGAGAGCTGTCAACGCTGTCATACGTGTCGCAAAAACACAACTGTGAAAGTGAGAACATACTCGTTAATACTTGAACCGTGATAGAAATCAATGGCCAAAAAGGAAGGTTCAGATGCGCCTGTTGTATCTGAAATATGAACATACTGAGTGAAAGAAGCGTACCATATCACGACCAACTCATATCAAGTCAATTCCAGATTTTGCATCAAGGAATTTAAATCAAAGGTTCTCTTTCAAGTCATTCCAGATATAGATTGTTCTCTACCGAATTTTGATACCTACTTGAGAGCTTCCGCAAGCTTCTCACAAACCAACTTCATACCATCTCTGCCCTTCTGGAGCACTGCGTCCATGACAATAAACGGATGTGGCACTCCTTCAATTACCGCTACTTCGGCATGTGCGCCCGATTCCTTCATCTTTCGTGCATATTCCTCTCCTTCCCACCGCAGCACATCCAAGCCGGCGACAACGATCAGTGCAGGGGGCAGTTTGGAGAACGTTTCAACAGTTGCGTGAAGAGGCGATGCTTCGGGCGACAGCCAGTCTGCCTCATTTGGAAGATAGTGACGTCGGTACCATAGCATCTTATCAGCCGGTAGAGCTGCCGTGTGTTCATATGCTTTGTAGGTGGCGCTTGATTCAGTGGACGCAGTGTTGTCCGTGACGGGAACTACCAAGATCTGGTATTTGAAGCCTGGCTGACCAACAAACGCCTCGTGCACGAGCGCCCTTTGTGTCATGACGGCGGCAAGATTACCACCGGCGCTCGAGCCGCCAATAGAGAGCTTGGAAAGGTCAAGACTTGTGTTCAGAGCGGGAGCCGCTGCACCTTTGACAACCCAAAGTACGGTCTCCCAAGCATCGTGGACTGCAGCAGGGAACGGATTCTCCGGTGCTAGTCGATAGTCTGTAGTAATCACTACGCACTTTGCGCTAACACACAGGTTGGTGCAGAGACTGTTTTCCGAGTCGATGTTTCCTATTACCCAGCCGCCTCCGTGATACCATAGGAAGACTGGCCATCCTGAAGAAGGTGGCGTCCCCGGAGGAATGAAGACCCTCACGGGAACTGGAGGTCCTGCAGATTCCCTGCGGGGAAGCTGAACATCAGTCGTGGCCCCTACAGGCACTGGATCAGTTCCGCCCTGTTACGCGTTAGATATCTACAGAGTGAATAGGAGAGAGTGATTATAGGGTAAATTTATTACCGGAATTAGCAGACCTCCAACACGAGAGGCAGAGACTGGCTGGTAGTGTACCTGTGGTGCGTTGAGAAGGTACTCATTATAGAATTCGACGTATTCAGGATCCAAGAGATCTTTCACAGAGTCGTGAAGAGGGTAAGGAGGTTGAGGGAAGGTTGATTGCGTTGCCATGGCGAGGAGGGTTAGCAAATGAAACACAGTGATTAGACTTGGATATAGTTAGATGGTATCACAGGCTCAGACGGTTTGCAAGCTTTAACTAATGCGAATATGAAGCGTGTCGACATCATCACACTTCAGGGTAAATGGGTAAATGCTATCTCGGCGATCGTCATATGTGGGTGGAACATCCCACGCAGTGCTTATTGCCCTCACTGAGTGGGCAGATATTATTAAGCGTTACGCGGGCCTATTAATATGTAGCTGATGCTTTCAGCGATGGCTGTTATCGGATATGCTCGGCTGAGCAATACTGCGATAACACCCATGATTACTTCATCAGCGTTCCAACATGGAAGCCTAAGACGCATTCTGAATCTATTTGACCGTTCTTGCCTCCTACCTTCTGCCTCTCCGAAGCCTGGTTGTTGCCCGAGTCTTGCCTTTTTCCGATGCAAATTTAACTTGTGCGCAAGAGCCGGGCCTAGTGATAGTAAAAATGATCGGTCTTGAAGCTATCAATGGCGGTGCCGCGTGGTATCGTTGCGACCCCCCAATGATACTGGGCGAAGCACCTATTTACCGAGACAGTGACTCTTCCCTTCACTGGGTCGACTGCCTCGCAAACCCCCCAGAGCTGCATATCTTGAAGGTCGATCCAGATACTGGTGACGCGCTTGGCCGCGCTCGCATCCTGAAGCTCTCAGACAGCGTGACAGTGCAGTTTTTCCGAAAAGACACACCAGGAAGCTATATCTGCGCATATTACCAAGGCGTTGCATTCCTTGACGAGGAGACTGGCCGACTGGACGTTCTCAAAGAGATCATCCCCACCGAGGATAGGGGCATTCGACGGTTCAATGACGGCGGCGTGGATGTTAAAGGACGATTCTGGCTGGCTGAGATTGATATCAAGGCTATGGGCTTCGGGCCCAACAAACTGCCCCAGAGCTATGGGACCCCTATCGGACGTCTATGGAGGTACGACCCTGATGGAAGTCTGCATGAGATGGACAACGGGTTTGTTTGTGGCAATGGCCTGGCCTGGAGTCCAGATAATAAAACCAGTAAGCATATCCTGCGAGTACACATGCACAGTATAGTTGTGAAGCTGACAGTATTGCAAGTGTATGTGAACGACTCAGTTGCGATGAAAGTATTCAGTTACGACTTCGATGCGGAAACAGGCGCCATCTCCAACAAGACATTGTTCATTGATCGACGAGACAGCTTCGGTGAGCCGGACGGAATGGTAGTGGAGTAAGTCTTGACGGCCAGCTTATGTGCAGATCTTGTTGGCTGACAACCACGTCAAAGCACCGAGGGCAACCTTTGGATAGCCGTTTTCGACTCGAATCGAGTGATGGTATTCTCTCCCGAGGGCGTCCATTTGAAAGATATTCTTTTCACGGCAAGGAACATGGCTTGTACGACTTGGGGAGGGAGGAACATGAATCTGCTGTTCGTCGCAACGGGCAAGGACAGGAAACCAACTGCAAAGGCTGAGGATGAAGGTGGCCACATGTTTCTTTACAAGGCACCACCGGGAGTTACCGGAACAGACAAGCATAAGTTCGCAGGCTAATAAAATTATATTCTCGCCTCGGATTTTCGTGGGGAAAATTAGCTGTTTAGTTTCAAAGTAAATTACTCATCAGTTATCCAAGTCATTATCTACTATGTCGTCTGCCGTTAGGGGGGGAAGCACAAGCGTTTGTGTTGCTATACGCTGTAAGGTTTCCCTGGCCTCTTCCAGAAGCTCCCATCTACAGCCTTCCAAAGCTAGCCGGACTGCTGTGACTAACCCCGACGTCCTGTTAGTTCCTGGAAGTTGAGAGAGGTCGCCATCTCCCATCAGGCCGTTGAGCATATGCGAGAGATACTCCTCGGCCGACCATTTATGTGTAGCATTATCAATAACGTCGCCCTGGGCGAGACCGGGAGATTGCCGGGCACCGCATATAACCGCACCGTAGGCCCAGAGTACAAGTGTCGTATTGTATAGAACCCATGGCTTGAGGATAATGCTATCTTCTGCAGCCACGTACCGAGCTCGGGTGAACATGGTTTCTTGAATCAAGAGTAGACAATGGCTGAGAGGTCTCTTCGCAGTAGGGTGATGTGCCCACTTGGATACTCGTTCGTAAGCCCGTTTCCATTGTAGGCTGTCAGGCTGAGTCCGCACGCCCGTGGCAAGGTTGGGTGCTCCCGCGAGAATGTGGCAGTCAACAAGTGACACATGGATGCTGACGTGGGCAATTCTCTGCAGCGGACGGGCAGCTTCAAGGCACAACGATGGGGTCTGGCTCAACAGGCTGAACGACCATGTGTCTATCGCACGGTCTAGACGCTCTTTCCAATTGTCTTGTTCTGGGTTAGAAGAGGAAGATATGGCACCGGAGCTGCTATTCTGCTCGGGAACGCTTATACAGGATGCTGTCTGATCCCGAGCAAACATATGCCTCGTCAAGCAAAATAGGCCATGAAGAAGGACAAACCGGGCAAAGGGGCTATAGGTATGGGGAATTGGATGGCGCGATAGCAAGGCTCGGAGTGCTGGTAGGAATAATGGGCTTGGTTGAACTCTGGATCTTTCCTTGTTCCATATAGATGCCGTCGACGCGTTCCATAGCACATCGGCGCAAGGAAGGGGTAGTTGGATGTCATTTAGTGACAGTACAGCAGTATGCCCAAAGATGGACGAATGCTGCGCATCCATGATGAACGCAAAGAATGCGGCTCGATAGGAAAGTTCCCTCTTTACCCATCGATACCAAGACTTTTCCAAGGAGGATGTCTCACCGGTCTCCTCCTGCTCTTCCGAGTAATAGCTGCCTCGCCGCATAAGCTTTCGCCTACGTTAGCATTTGGTGATTCATAAAAGACCGAATAAGCAAATGGCGTATGGCGTACCGTGATAACGGAGTAATGGAAGATATGAGACATCTCATGCAACTTCCTCGTTGAGAACATCTTCTCATATGCCTGAACCATCAATAACGCCTGAATCACCCATAGAGGTGCCGGCACTTGAAAACTCGGAGACTATGCATCTAGTTAATCAGTCTCATTGTAAACGGGATGTAAAGCCATGTACCACAAGTAGTGGATTTGAATCGATCCTTACTTACCGTAAATATTAGCCACCGTAAATTCTGATGGATGATTTCCGCTACTTTATAATGCTCCACATCCGGCGAAAGCGTCGCCCCAAGCGTCAAGATTGCTACGAGCAATAGAGGAGGGGCATCCTGCACACAGAAGGTAGGTTGATGAAGTAGAAAGAAGTGAGCGTTGTAGTTTTCCCAATAACTCAGCATGAACTGTTCCAGGTTATTGCTTTCGAAGAAGGACGAGGCCAGGACTTCTTGGGGAAGATATGACAGAGACGACAGAATCCTCTCACGAGGCAGCCTGTATGTATTCTCAAGCTGGGATGTTATGCCCCTACCCACAGATGCATCCGAAACAGGGGATATTGTTTGGGCATCTGGGGGGGAACGCAGGTTGATGCCCTCCACTTCTCCGGTTCCATCCCAAGAGCTGGCGTCAAATAACCAATCTAGATCTTGAATCAAACTGGTAGCATCATTGGATTCGTCGAAGAAGGAAAGATGTTCCACACCCAGTCTGTCCATTGGTTGAACAGCAACATGTTGCTGTACCTGCACCTGATGGACAAGAGGAGGATCATTCAGGTCGGATGCATTAACCCCAGCCGGGCCCACGTCTAACCTCTCGGGAGCTGGGGAATCCATGACGTGTTCAAGATGCAACTCATTGGGGGCGGAATCATCTTGCCCACGCAGCTCCACCGCTGGTGAGACACTGGCGGAGTCAGTTGGTGACAGCCTTTTATCAATGTCACCCACCACATCACGATGTGAGTAGCCCCCTGAGTTGCGATATATCATGCCACGGTCATGCCGTCGCGCGTGTCTTTGCATGAGGTCCAGCCGGACGAAATCCTTGTGGCAGACAGAGCATGTGTGGATTTTGCGCGGTTGATCTAAACACTCAGCACGGTGGTTAACGATGTACATACATGAGGTGCCATATATTGTCCTAAGCTTATTTCCCATCAACTGTCTCGTTCATGGGTCAACTTACGATTGAGACGATGCCGACTCAAATGTTCTGGCCTCTTGTACACGCGGGAGCAACCTCGCTCTGTACATGGATACATGCTTCATGCGACGCCAGTAAACAAAAGCAATTGCGGCTTAGCTACCCTAGCTGCTTAGAATGAGTATCTCGCGACAGGTTTTGAGTGGGCAGTCAAGGTGAGGATCGAATTGTCAACTTCAATATCAACGTGGGCATTGGGACGGGCAGAGGCAGAGGGGGGGGAGCAAGGTGGGATGACTGGATACCCATTTCCGGCCTCAAAATGCCCGCGTAAGAGTTTATAAGCTGGGCCGTATCAAAACTGGGGCAAGCTTAAGCCTGGGGCCAAGATCGGGGATAATGCAGCACCCGAGATATCGAGAAACCCGTTGGTCTGGTCGAGAGATAACATGATAAGCTCTGGAGTAACCCAAACGAACACCCCCTTGACTGAGAGGAGTATCATGTGCCTGAGACATGTAACAAAGCGCGACGCATATGTAAGAAGCTGACCGCCTCCGCCATCCAGTGCATTTATCCAGTGATCTCCATCAACCGTCATCACGCGTCATCGCATAGCTGAACTGTCTCAATTATTCAACCCGATCCTGAAGCCCAAACAATAGCAATGTCCTCGGCCAAGACACGGCTGCAAAAGTTCAAGCATGCCTTCAGCTCTCCCAGGGCTTTCCATGAGGCCATCTTGCTGAAGAGCTCGTCATCGATGCTCATCAACGAGGACCTCCTGCCTTCCCCTCCCAGCCGCCAGACATGGAACACATTGAGCTTCTTTGCTTACTGGTGGAGTGAGTCGTGGAATGTCTCTACATGGAGCATCGGTGCCTCTCTAATCACCGTCGGCGCGTCTGTAAGGGATGCCCTCCTTGTCGTCTTCTTCGCAAACCTGCTTTCGGCTGTTGTCATGGTCCTCAACGGTTACGCCTCGTCGCGGTATCACATCGGCTATCCCGTTCTTTCTCGATCAAGCTTCGGTATCTACGGTCACTACTTTGTTGTCGTTCTTCGGTCGATACTAGGAATCATATGGGGTGGAGTGCAGCTCTACTTTGAGGGACAGTTTATCAGCATCTGCTTGCGATGCATCTTCCCCTCCTGGGAGAAAATCCCGAATGGGATTCCGGCCGATCAGTTCATTACGACACAGACAATGGTTGGGTTCTTCCTTGCTTTCTTGTGCACAATTCCATTTCTACTCATCCATACCTCTCGAATTCAACACCTCTTCACGGTGAAGTCCGTTGTGCTTCCGCTTGCAGGCCTAGGGATTGTTACCTGGGCAACAAAGTCCAACGGAGGCGTTGGTTCGACCGCTCTTGATATCCAAGCCCAGGCATCCAGAACCTCCACGGCAGTATTTGCCTGGGGTATAGTCACACAGTTCAATGCCGTGATGGGATCAAACTCGGCTCTACTCGTCACGATTCCAGATATAGCTCGATACTCAAAAACACGCAACGCTCAGATCTGGGGCCAGTTGATTGCCTTGCCTCTAGGACAGACATTATGCGCAGCCTTCGGAATTATTAGCACGGTACGTCTTGGCGAATGACGCTATACGATCCAATATATTTCTTCACTACATGGACCTGACTAACATCGTGGTATAGGCGGCTGTGCTCAACATGTACGGAGAAGCATACTGGAACCCATACGACCTTCTCAACGGCATCCTCAATCACGGCTACACTTCATCTGCCCGAGCAGGAGTTTTCTTTGCCTCGGCCAGCTTCGCGTTCGCTACCCTCGGTACCTCGATCGCTTGCAACTTTATCCCCTTTGCGGCCGACGTAACCTGCCTGCTTCCTCGATATCTCAACATTGTCAGGGGTCAGATTTTGTGCCTGATTGTGGCATTTGCCATCGTCCCCTGGCGCATCGTCAGCTCTGCCAACGGTTTCCTCAGCTTCCTCAATGGGTACTCAATTATCCAAGGCCCGGTTGTGGCCATTATGCTCGTCGACTATTTTGTTTCACGAAAAGGCAATCTATCCATTTCTGACCTTTTCACGACCTCTCCATCGGGGATATATTACTATTTCCATGGACTCAACCTCCGTGCATTTGCAGCATTCATCATCGGCTTCATCCTGCCACTACCAGGCTTTATCGGCACCTTTGGGACTGTTACTGTCTCCGAAGCAGCCTCCAATATGTACTCCCTTGGCTGGGAACTCAGCTTTGTGATCGGCGGTGTGGCATATCTTGTGCTCGGTCTAGTCTGGCCCGTGCCTGGGGACGGTGCTTCTCATGGTTTTGAGACCAGCCCGGTTAGTGATGGCAATGTAGATGACCTTACTGTCTTGGATGCTACTTGTAATACCAACGAGACCAAAGAAGCTGAGCAGGTCAAGTCAGGAGAGGTATGACAGTAACCATTACGTCAGATTTTTTTTTTTTTTTGAAGACTATGTCCTGATATCTACCTGAGCGAGCTTTTATCTTGATTTTTAAACAGTAAACTGAACGGCTTAATAGCTCACCGAGTCTTTTCGTAATTTGTACTTAGGTACTTATAAGCAGAACTTACTTTAGGTTTAAACTCGATCGTATTGTTGGAGATTTGTGATCTATCTCTTCTATCCTACTTCCATACTTCTTGTTAGGTCTCTTTTACGGCTGGGCTCTAGTTGAAATCTGGCTTGTAATAATGCCTTGTCCCCAGCAGATTGGGAAACCAGTCTCTATCATTAGCTTAGCTGATATATTTATCATTACCTTATAGCATTCCAATGAGAACGATTACAATCATGGCTTCAAATCATAAATCGGTAATGATGGACGAGTGAAGAGAAAAGGTAAATCGAATTCAAGCGGTTTCGCAGTTACGCAAGTACTGAAGTATACAAGAATGATACGCTCGCTCCCCTGGGAGCAGCACGCAAGGTTCTATCTCAGGGGCGGTTCTAAGTTCTAGGGGGGCCTGGTTGATTTATGGGCCTGGTTCTGAAGGATTGCTCTTTTCGGGCCCATCTTTCAACCTCCATGCAAGTCGTTTCGTTTCGGATTACTCGAGCTCGAGCTCGAGCGCCCTTCTGGCATTTCGCCTCCTCCGGGCTCCCTCAAGAGCCCTCTTCGCAATTTGTCGCCTTCGATGATACTCCATAGCGCTCCTGGGAAGAATGGGCTTCTTTGCGCCCTTGACCATTCTGCATACTTTGCTGGTGCACTCCGCAGCAAAGGTTCCGACTTTGGCAACGCCACCCTTGGCCACCTGTGCAGCACTGCCGAGCTTGTTGGCCGCAGCATTCCAGGCCTTCTTCCACCCTTCGGACTGGGAAGCAGTGACGGAGGCTGCAGCAGTACTGCAGCAGAAGGCAGCACTTCCGAGGGTGTAAGCTCCGACTGTCATACCCTGGGAGTTGCAAACCAGAGCTCCTGCTGAGCAGGCCACGGCGCCGAACTTGTAACTATGGAAAAAGGTTAATGTTAGAACTCTGAGAGCGTGGGTTGAGATACTCACCCTGCTTCTGCGCCCTTGCCGTTCCATGCGGGTCCAGGCGATGCGGTTGCCAGTTGGAAGGTAGCCGCGAGGGCACTGACGATAGCAATGTCGAAGCGCATTGTGATAGATGATGAAGTATATGCTTAAGGAAACTTGTGTGGTGGGAAAGATGATTGATAGAAGATGTTGCTTGTTTTCTAAGTGTTGAAGACTGTTGTTGAGATTCTGGTACTTTGGTCATGGAGGCTCGGCAGCTTCTTATATGTTGCTGATTCTGTTGCATCCATCCAACCGCCCAGTATCATCCTCCATGGCGCGCGGCTCGCGATCCCAAAATAGATTAGAAATCGCCTGTCTAATTAAACAGCTGCGGTGAAAACCTACATAGCACTAACTAGGGACAACTGTCAAGGGTATCAAGGGTTTTTTCATGTACATAGAGGGAAATTCTTACGTGGGTTGAGAGTTGAATATTTCAGGATGTGGTGGCAGCCAATCAGATTAGTCTATCGAGAACGTGCAAAGCAATAGCAAGGATCTCTCACTCAGAGCCACTCACACCCAATTTGAACTCGAACGCCGGACTGCCGGCATATATTTAAAGCAACGGCGGTAACCAATCAAACTGGCAGATGTGGAATGTAGGATTCAGGGACCACCTGATCGTGCGAAAGCCGGGCGACGTAAACCCCCTAGATAGAGAATTCGCATCTAGCCCACACCGAATACCCGGCCCATACTACCGATGGTTTAGCGAAGGATGGGAGGTCAGCATTTATGGAACCCGTCTTGCCGAGATGAGACGGTAGTCACCCGAGTAACTACTATCAATCACCCCATACGGTTCGTTAGATGTGCGGCACGGCAAAGATGATATAGTATATCCATGACCTGCTCAAAGGAGCTGCGGTCTCTAATTACATGTGCCCTTGCCGGTTTCCCTCTTTGGTATCATCTTTAAGCTTACCACCACCTGAAATAACGTCTACTATCGAAAGTATACCCCCATTTAGGAGACGGCACTCTTCGCGCAACGGATCTTCATGATGAAAGCATCCCAATGGATTTATCGAAAGATGTTTGTAACTACCTACCGTGGGTATTCAGTACCGGACGGATTGTGTTCATATCGCGGAATGTAGCCTCCGCCGTCTTCCCTCTACAGCTGATCCGAGGGCCCTGCCTGCCAAGCCCTCGCATACTGCAGATGCCCCTCGGACTAGGTTCTGCCAAGGATCATGTACCATGATGAGTCTCCAAATGCGGACGCCTAGATTCAAGAGTGACAGCAGCGTGGGACTGAGCTAACTTGTGATTTTGGGCCCATTCAATCCCAGTCACTTCATCCGCGGAAATATCTGTATCGTACGGTACGATATTATCGTTAAACTTCGAAGACCCGAGACAGTTCGGGACTATAGCGGGCGTTTGCCCACATCCGCAATCCACTCAGCCGCAGTAGGCCATTGTCCTAACTCATCCGTGTTGTGAATAGTATTGATGGCACTTCAGAACCCTTTGGAGAAGACGTTTACGTGACTGTCCGAGGTGACGCCGCTTGACAGCACCATGTCTCGGCTCGGATACTCATCGCTCCCGTGTTTTAGTCGTGCAGAGACACACGAGGCATTTCCCCCCTGAAACATGTTGTAGATCAGCTAGCTCCTGGTTCCCGTCAACCAACGGTTGCAGCCACCGACATAATTGTCTCAAATATTCTACGACAGTGACTTATACGTGGGCTGGTCAAGCATGTCAGCCATATAAGAAAAGAGCCAATAATCACGCCATTTAGAATGGGCAAGATGTATTTCTGTGACCTTTTAGCAAAGTACAAGGCTTGGCTAAATCATCATTTGCGAGTAGGATACTAGATGGTCTGGAAACACCCGGTTCCCAGCATATGTGGTTATGTTATGACGGGCCCTAGCTGCTAAGACTCAACCACACCCCATGAAAAACAAGACATAACGCATTCCAATTGAGCCAATTGGAAGTCCTAGTAGGCCTTCGTTATGTAATCCGTAGTTCTTAGATGCCTGCATGCCTTCATGAGCTTTATCCTGCGTATTAGCCTTTTTATGTTTAGTCTTTTATGTGTACCTAACAAGCTTAGATCATTTCGAAATCAAAATTGGTACTAATAATATAGACAATGTTTCCAATGATTGAAGTCAATTCATCTAAATTCCACGTTCTAACAACAGATGATATAAAAACCGATGCAAAAGTGGCTGGAGAGGAGGGATAATTGAGACCGGTGTGGACAATGATTGTTTGCTGATGGAGTGAGTTATTCCGTGATTTCATATCCGAAGAGATCCATAGCTGTGTCAGGAACTTACGGCCACACTTCAACTTTCTTTCTACTGCAATTTATTCCCAATAGGAGCATTAGACCAGTCTCGGGTATTGTCAGCAACCAGCCGCTGGTTTTTGCCATTCCTCTCACATGGTTTGTTAAATTCCTAGGCCATGGCACGTTGCTTGTGCAAACTTGAGTGTCTCATCCAACTTCCGGACGAGCATATCTACCAATTTCAAGGGATACTACGTCACATTCCGTCCCAGGGACTTTTTCAGCACGCAGTTCTATCGGAGGTCTTCCTGTTGATGGATTATAAAGTTCACGAGCCCGCCAGTTTTTTTAAAGCCTGTTCTAGCCATTACAGTATAAACCAGTCCGTGCCCTTTGTTGAAGCTTATCTAAAGTCCTCACCATGCAGCTTTCTTCACTCTTTCCCACTCTTCTTCTATTGGCCTGCGCAAAGGCAATCCCCACGGATGACAGCATTGCCAAGACCCCGGCCGATGGGCAATCCAATGCTGAACCTGTCAATTCGTCCACAGGCGAGTTATTGGCCGATGTTGTGATGGATAACAACGCTGGCTGCAGCCCGTGGTACAATTGGTACGGTACCGGCAGGTGGACATACACCGAAGTCCAATTCTGCTTCTACCAACGTTCCACCTCAACCGTCGCCGTTGTAGCCCAACGTGAGGCTCAATACTACTGGGGTGCTGCCTGGTATTACGCGAGAGGTTACGGGTTCTCCTGGAACATCCAGGGAACTCTCGTCAATGGTGGGGATTTCGAAGGGTCTGGCAAGGGAGCTGGACCTACTGAGTACTACGTCTTCCCTGAGAAGGTGCCCGCTGGCACTTACGCAGTCTCTCTTAATTATAACCAAGTTGGCCCTTATTGGGAGGCAGACGCTGCCATCAATGAGAGTGCCCAGTTCAGCATTGTGCTTGGATCCTAATTGGCAGGGCTAGAATGCTTCGTTACTGGTCATAGTTCAGGTAAGTAACTTTGAGTCTTGATAGGTCCAATGAGTTACCTTATTGATTAACATGGACTAGAATTCCTTTTCTGTGGTCTGGTGCCCTTTACCTATGGAGCTGTTAAGTGTAGGATAAGAATGGTCTTGTATAGGTTTTTTCCCATGTTTACCATAGGTTTTCCCTATGCTATATGCAAATGCAGAGGCTATTAAATTCTATCTCTAATAATCTGTTAATGTAGTTATGTAAAACCGGCACATCCGCCATTAACTCCTTTTCGTTCATTTGCACAGTTGTACCGCAAATAGTGAATCAATCGTATATGTGCAGATGTCTGTCTACTTAGATCTACATTGTCTTGTTGAATAGATAGAGCGCGCTCTGGCTCGGCCTTTAGTGACTCTGTATCCACTCCTGTCATTTCGTTTTTCATTTTTGCTTGCTGGAACAGTACCAAGTAGTTGTGCCATTGGATGAGTTCCAAGATGCTGCATCCAAAATAGAATCGTAAGTTGCGTTTCCCCCCTTTAAATCATATGGTGTAGGGTTGGCCGTCACGAGTGCAGGGATCGCTGATTTGACCTCGTTCTGGTTTGGTGCTGCGCCGTCGCGAACATTAAAGGAACAGACAAGGCTCGGGGGATAACGAGTTCGCCTCAGCAATCAACAAACAATGTAAATCGCATTGATCAACTTCTAGAGCCAGATGAGCACTGCGCACTATTTTATACCATAGTTGATCGCTCTCCCCGATGATGGACTACGTATCTCGGAGATTGAAGCGCTCCGATGTCGACGCGGGGAGCATACGCGGCATGGGCTGCCAGTAAGCAAGCTCCAGCCTGAAATTGGAATTGAATAATGTTCGTAATGACTGACCACACCGCAGCGAAGGCTACCAGCTGGCCATGCATACACTTGACCAGTATCGCGGCACTGTCGTGGCTGCGACCTACTGCCCGCCCATCAGCCTCACCGGTCCCGGCTCTCTCGACACCCTCAAGGCCAAGTTCACTGATGCTGTCGCACGCGTCGCCCTTGCTCAGCCTCATTTGCACGTCGGTATCACGGGCGAGGACACAGCCAAGCCAAACTTTGTCCGCCTCGAGGCACTCGATCTCCGGAATCACATTCACTGGAAGGCCCTTGATGATGCCGTTTCTCGGGAAAGGCAGTACCTCGAAGAATTGCAATTGCAGCTGGACTCCAGATTCGACAATCTTGCCACTCAGCCCGGTTGGAGGGTCATCATCTTGCACGACGCCGGAGCCGAGTCCATTGAGGTCTTGTACGTCTGGAACCATCCACATCACGACGGCATGAGCGGCAAGATATTCCACCAGCAGCTATTCAAAATTTTGAACGATAAGGAAAACTTCAGCAAGCCCCTAGCGGACAAGCTCCAAGATGACTCTGGGTCCTTGATCGTCAAGCTTCCCGAATCATCCGAGAAGCTGCCACCTCCCCCCGAAGTGTTGACAGCATTCCCCATGACCCCTCCTTTTTTGCTCAAGAAGCTGTGGAAAGAAGTGAAACCATATTCCATTTTTCCGCCCACGAGCGTCCATGCCACGTGGGCCCCAGTTAAGCTGCAGCCCTTCACAACCCGGTTTCAGTCCTTCTCCATTGACAATGACACCATCGTAAAGTTGGTAGCCTCTTGTCGTCGTCACCAAACGACCGTCACTGGCCTTCTTCATGCCCTTGTCCTACTCTCTCTTTCATCAGGGCTTAGGGATATGAAGGGCTTCGCGGCTAGGACACCATATGATCTTCGGCATTATCTACCGTCTCACACCAAAGAATACCCTTGGCTAGTGCCAAAGGAGACTATCTGCAACTACGTCTCCGTCCTGGACCACAAGTTTCACCCCGACCTCGTTGCAAAAATCCGAGCGGAGTTCTCTCCCGATCGCGTCGCAGCAGGAGAACCTCTGCCCGCCGACATTATGCACACTATCTGGTCTGTTGCGGCTCGCGTCCGGAAAGAAATCAAAGACAGGCTGGAGTCTGGCATAGTCAACGATATGATTGGCATCATGAAGTTTGCAGGAGATTGGCGGCCCCAGCAAGAGAGTGAGGCCCGGAAACCCAGATACCTGTCCTGGCTCGTCACCAACCTAGGCGTTCTAGAAGGTGGACTTAGCAAAGCCGAGAATGAGAGGCAGGGAGATGATTGGACTATACATCGAGCCCAGCTATTTTTGAGTACGGAAATTCCTTCTGCCGCATTATCCGTCGCTGTTTCAACAATAAAGGATGGGCAAATGGATATCACGTGTAGCTGGCAGGACTGCGTGGTTGACCCGGATCTCGGTGCAAACCTCATGAATAACCTCAACCGATGGTTGGCAGAGATTGGATCACTAGCATGATTTACATTTTTAATCAGAAATAGCCCAGCAGATTAGATAATATCACTTACATCCTGAATCAGCACTCTTCTTTCATATCACCATCTTCTTGTCTTAGAAATATGACACTCTCTTCAAATTTCCTTATGATCTCATTGGACTAACTCCCAATTTGAAAAATAGACTGCCCTGTCCATCTGGAGGATCGCAGAAGACTTTCACGTACTCTAGCCTAAGTTCTTCCAAGAATCCCAAGGGGCGGCTTGAATCAACGAATCTGGATGCACATGTGCACAACAGCCCCAACCATTCCTGATCAAACATACCAACTCAATAGTGCAGTGGTACTCGTTTCAATCCCAATCTGATCCATTTGTAAAGTGTGGCGACTGCTTATGATCGGCTATCACTTGTCAGCCAAGTCATCCGGAATTTGCGAACCTGGACCGGGCCGGGCCAAATCAGGCAACGCTGGCCAGTTCGGGCTATTATCTTCGCGGGGAATCCGTATTTGACAACTACACAAATGGTGTATTTCCCCAGTCTAGTATTATTTCGTCTATTCTATATTTTCCAAATGCAAGGGTCTTATACGCTCCAGGTGGAAACAAATCAGTGAATAGTGATAGGCCAACAGACAGTATATAGTCTCGATCGTTTGAAATATTGCAATGCTTTTTATTGTCACATCACTTAGTGTCTGAAGATCAAAATTGAATTCTGTTTACTGTCTTACAGACTCAAAACATGTCTACTACTGTGGTAACCACGTCTGAGCTCGCAGAGCATAATACAGCGACCGACTTATGGGTTTCAGTTCATGGAAAAGGTTAGTTGGTGCCAAGGGAGAAGATAGCCTTTCACTTTACAACATTCTATTGTCAAATACACTAGACTGATACAAAGGTGCAGTTTACAATTTGACATCTTTTCTGAAAGACCACCCGGGCGGTATAGATAGTGTTCTTCAATGTGCTGGAGATGACGGAACGGAAGCATACGATTATGCAGGACATAGCAAAAGTGCTTCAGCAACTCTAACACGATTTCTAATTGGACCCTTGGAAGGGCATGATGAGAAATTGCCCGAAGAAGAGAATCGGTCGGACCCAGTACCAAAGCCTGAAGAACGCAAAAGTTATTTACCAGCAAGTTATCCTTTGACTATATTCCTACGACTTGTTTTAGGAACGGCCTTGGGAGGGTTTATGGTCGCTCTCGGTGGCCGGTTTGCGCTCCGGGATCAGTCGTTACACATTCTTGCCGCTTTGTGGAAGCGGCCTGTTGATTCCATTGGTGCCTTTGGTGCTGGGGCTCTGCTATCCTCTTCCGTCGCTCTTCTTATTTTTACATATGCCTACGAGCAGTTTCGCAAGACTCTGCACCACGCCAAGGAGCCATTTGCTTACCCGCCAATCATTCCCCGACCAGTCAGGGTTTGGGATAGAAGGTTATCTAAATAGTCACATAGTTGTTCTCAGAAGTTATTTCAGAAGTCATTTCAAGATAGACTCAAGATAGTTGAAACGAGTCTTGTGTATGTAGTGAATTACACAAATACGACAAATTGAAATGAAATAAAGTGCTTTGAATAGCGGCGTTCTTAATTGGACATACAAGGAATACCTTTGATAGCCCAATCATTATATTTTTAACATCATTCAGTAAATAAACAAATGACAATACTGACAGAAAGTATCAAGTGGGTGAAATAAAACGTGGTACACCAAAGCTCTTTCCGCGTGAGGCAGGGACCTCGTTTTCGAACTAGGTAAACACAATAAGAAGAGAAAAATAAGAGAATATATTCTACAATATTTAGTTAAACATTATATTCAGCACTAGGTCATGTGTTATAACATGATATTGAAATTCATTGCTGAACTATCTCGATGTGCCATGTTTTATTTCACCTGCTCACCTTCGTATCCTACATCAATGTAATTAAGCTACCAGTTGCAGTAAGACTTGTAAATTTCAAGAAAACATTCTAGTTATCAAATAGATGAGCATTTTTCATCCTTCCTTCACCACTTCCAACTTGAGTAAGGCACTTCTAGATGCAATTTTGATCGCCAAGTCCGCCATTGGAGTTGAGCTCAAAAGTTCGAAAACTGATATCTCACTCTGCATATCCTTCAACACTCGGTTCCGAATTTCAACAGCATTCAACGAATCCACTATTCGAAGTTAGTAATTCATCGTCCATAGATAATCTATTCCAATCTTACGACCACTTACCTCCAAATTCAGGAAGAGCTCTATGGGAATCAACCTCATCAGTCTCAACACCCACAGCGATCGCAATCTGCCACTTTAGAGTCGCCTCGACCGCCTCCGCAGCCTCTGCTAATGATACCGCGTTGCTCAACTTGTCAGAAACACTTTCCTCTTTTGCATTGGTGTTTTCACTGTCGGCCACTTCAATAACGCGCAGATCAAATTTGCGATCACGCTCAAATCCAGTGCCTCCGGCCTTTCGGACCAGCTTTCCGCCGAGACCCAAGACGAACTGGGCGGGAATACTCCCTTCATCAGCTGTAGAGCCTCGCATAATTGCCCTCAGGCATACGAGTAGTTCATCGACGGTTGTTTGAAGACCAGTCCAGCCGTGCTGATAACGGTTTAGATAGCCCTTGAGGTCACCAAACTCTCCCGATTCGGTAAAGTGAGACGAGTCAGACACCAGGCCAACATCAATACTTGTCGCCCGTATTCCGAGCGTTTTGCGGGCATAATGAGCAAGAGCGTCTTCAAAGGAATTACCAGAGGCATAGTTGGCTTGCGCTGTGTTTCCGATAACACCGGTAATTGAGGATAGGAGGATGAAGAACGGGTTGTCCGCGGGCCATAGATTGGCCAGGAGATTTCGAGAACCGCGTGTCTTGGGTAAGAACGCCCGAAGCCATTTATCATGTGTCATATTTTCAAAGATCGTATCCTGAAACATGCCGGTTAGAACAAATTCTCGTGAGTTAGTCCAGAAATCAGGTGCTTACCTCCAGGACCATGGCGCATTGGATGACGCCCTTTACAACTCTTCCTTGTGTCTTCAACTCCTGGAAGACAGACGCCACACTAAAAGCCTGGGTCACATCACATTTGAAAGCCTCAGCCCTGACTCCCTGCTGTCTGAATTCATCCAGCTCCTTCTGGCTACTGCTGCCGCCGGATCGTGAGAGGAACACGAGATCCTTTGCTCCATGTGCGACCATAGTCTTGGCAATATTCAAGCCAAGAGCACCCAGCCCACCAGCTAGGACGAACGTGGCACCTGCGTCAAGGACGAGCTCGGGAGCTGGTGGTGGAGTGGTGAGAATGGAGGCTTCTCTGTCAAGAGATACCACAACCTTGCTGAATGCATCTGTCTTAACAGCCTGGATGGCCTGTGCGATGTTTTCCACTGAGAAGACCTGGGCCCCGGGAACGGGACGGACGCAGTAACGACGACAATAGTCACGGAAAGTGCGTTGGACTAGAGTATTGACCACATCAGGTTTGGAAACGATGACTGAATCCATATCAATGCGAATAAGGCTAGCACTCTGTGTCGAGGCTGAAAGCGCCAACTTCCGAGTTACAGTCGAGGATCCAATCAGGTCAACCAAGTATCCAAAGTCACTGAGAATGTTGACAGCCTCTTCAGTGGCTCTCGTGGATCCTTGGTTAAGAATGACTTGCACGCCTCGGTTTTTAGTTGCCTTCTTGATAGCGGCAACAAAAGAATTTGACTCAACATCAAAGATTCGATCCGACGGAAGATCATATTCCGTTGAGAGAAGTTCTTTCTCCGCCTTTGATTTGACCAATACAAAGACGGATGCGCCAACCAGTTGCACAACTTGGATAGCAGTTTGGGTAATGTCACCAGCCTCAACATTGATGAGAACTGCCTCATCACGCCTCAAGCGCGCAATCTCTAGGAGAGCATACTGAGCCGTAACAAAAGCCAGAGGCATGGTTGCTGCCGTTTGTGGAGAAACATGGCATGGCACAGGAGCTACCTGGTCTTCCGAAACTCGAATCCTAGTCCGACTGGCTTGTGTAGGTAGCAGGACGGCAACATTTTGGCCGATGTTGATGGATGACACACGTTCACCACAAGCCAGGACCGTGCCGACAGCTTCCTTGCCCCACCCATTCGACTTCTTGCTTGAAGCATCATTGGCTCCTAGTCCAACGTAATCCACCTGAATCTCAACATCATGAGGACTAAGAGAACCCTCAAAAGCTTCATCTTCAAGTCCGATACAGTTTTGTCCATCAGCTGATATGGAAAGCGTCAATGGGAGGCTGACATCAGCCAGTTTGGTCAACACGGGCTTAGGCTTGCCACTAGCAAGCTGTAACTCAGCATCAAACCCAGGTTCATCCACCGCTCTTGGGATATGGATCGTGCCGGCGTCCTCGGCATACTCCATCTCAGCATTCTTGCCTTGAGAAGTAATCCATACGTTCATGATGAGAATTGCATTGGCCGGGCTTGAAAGATCGAAGCTAGAAGAGAGATCGAGGTGAGGCAGCGTGGTGATCGTGTATTCGTTTCTCAAGACACGGAGCAGTCCCTGGGATGGGGCAAAGTCGGCACTTGAGGACCAAGAGCGAAGAAGACCGCCCTTGGTTACCCACATCATGTGCTCAACCTTGGAAACAAGTGCCTTAAATGCGTTGAATTCGTGCTCAGACCAGGAATAGATAAATGGGCTTTCGGTTTCAAGAAGTGAAATTAGGTGTTGTCCCACGATTTCATTCTCGTTCAGATCCAGTAGAAGTGTCAGTTTCGCTGAGACACCAAGCGCCTGGAGGTCCTGGGTAATGTTGGAAGCAAGCTTTGAGAGAAAATCCGAGGCGTCATTGGGAAGAACAATATAAACTTGCTCAGGCATCTTTTGCTCGTTCCTTGAAGCCATGGCGACTAATGCTTCGATATCTCGCGGATATTCCACGAAGTCTGGAGTCTGTGCCCACTTGATTTGAGCGCACTTCTTCAGATCAAACTCATCTTCAGAGATGCCATTGCCGGTAGAGGTGACTTGCCTCAGGGCGAAATCTTTCACTACCAGCTTTGGAGCGGACCAAGCCTCGTCTGACACAATGAGATCACCAACAATCTCATGCCCATCCTCACTCTTAGATGTTAGGCTTCCATACCCATGATACAATTTACCTGAACCATGCGGCTGGTCTTTGGCAACAAACATGTCACCAATATGGTATGGAACTGCTGCTTCGTCAACCGGCCGTCCATCGTTGAAAGAAGCAAGAAGTAGGTGGAAGATGGCATCCATTGTGGCTGGATGAATTACATGGTCAAACTCAAAACCTTCGGGCATGGAAGACAAAGTATCCGGAATGATGACAGCACCATGAGATGCCTTGGATGAAGGTATCGCTTTGAGTGTCGTTACGTTTCGGAAGAGAGGACCATACTCCATTCCGATTGACTGAAGATGATCATAGAATGCGTCCACTTCTACATCCTCGGCCGAGGTCTCTTTCAAAAGCCCTTGATAGATCGATGTTTGCCCATTCCACTCCAAGGTGGTCGTAGCCTCATCGTCTACCTCATTAGGAAGCGATCTCCCGTACTCAAGCTCGACGGACCCGTAGCAGTGTTTTGTCCAAGCAGTCGAGGTAGTAGTTGAAAAGATGACAAAGCCATATCGGCCTTCAACTTCGGGGTCAGGATGGAGACTCAAGCGTGTTTCCACTGCACTCTCTTCATCTGAAGGGACCACCAAACCGCGCTCAAACGAGACATCTCTGAAGCGGAAGCCGTCCAAGGTCTTGTTCATATCCGACATCTTCAATGCACCTTCTAGTGCCATAACTAGCATTCCTGCTGCAGGATACAGCGTGGTGCCCGTGATGCGGTGGTCCTCAATCCATGGATTCTCTGACACACGTAGGTAGTTTCTCCACTGCGGTTCGAACTTGTTCTGCATATCAACCGGAACACCTAACAGGTCGGTTCTGGGATGTGAAGGGAACCTGTTTGACTTTGTTGAGTAAGCTTCGTGCCAAAACTTACGAGAATGGTTCCAGGGATAAGTGGGAAGGCTAGTCAATGACTTGTTTACGTGTCCCGGAGTGCGGGCATTGACAGTAGACAAGTCAACGGGATGTCCGATTGCCCAGAGTTTTCCAGCCACTGTCAAACTTGATTCGATCGCGTCCTCCCCACGAAGAACAAGTGCCATGTAAGGTGCGTCCTTGGCCGAACCGTTCTTCGCCCCGGTCGCGGTCATAATTTGTTGAACAGGACCTTTGAGTGCGGCATGTGGTCCAATTTCAACAATGGCATCCCATTGAATAGATGTTCTGCCTTTCTCTCCTTGCTTGTGTGATAGAATCCCAGATACTGCAGAGGAGAATTCGACCGTAGCACACATGTTAGATACCCAGTACTGAGCAGTGAGCTGTTCTGGCGATACGAGTTGTCCAGTCAAAGACGAAAACATGAAGGTATTCTCAAACCCATCCGATTTAGGCGTCAAGGTCTCAATATGTCCAATCTGGTCGAAGTAGCTCTGAGCGACCGATTGCATATGAGGAGAGTGATAAGCCGTCTCGACTTTGAGCTTGCGGGCAAACTTTCCATCTCCTGAAATCAACTTTTCAAGTTTGTCGATACTCTCTACGTCACCAGAGAGCGTCACACTGGATGGACTGTTGACGCAGGCAACGACGGCGGATTCTGGTTCTACCTGTTCAAGGTATGCCTTTGCATCTTCCCTTGAGATCCCGGCAGCCAACATGGCACCTTTGCGGGTAACACTAGCAGAGCTAAGACCCCTCACATATGCAATCTTAACAGCATCCGCGTGACTGATGTATCCTGCAGCGTAAGCCGCAGCTAATCAATTTCATTGCGTTAGACTTATTCATGTACTGAGCTTTTGTGACAACAAACAGATGTAGACTTACCAATCTCTCCGCTGGAGTGGCCAACGGTCGCCCTTGGCATAGCCTTCCAGTGTCGAAGGAGATCGACCAAGGCAACCTGAAGAACTGTGCAGAGTGTCTGACTAAACTCGGGATTCAAAATCCGTGAGTCTTCCGTCTTCCTCAGTTCCTCGATCGCATTCCACTGGCATCCGAGCTGTTGGAGGACTTCCTGAGAGCGGAGCACGCTCTCCTCAAAAACTTGTTTTCCCAGGAGCTCCACACCCATGGCTGGCCACTGAGCGCCCTGGCCGGTGAAGACTAAAAGTAAATTGCTGCGGTTTCGAAGAGACCTTTTCGTCTTAGAAATCCCCTTGGATAACTGATCGTTCAGTTCAGAAATGGATGACGCCACACAAAAGCCTCGAAAGTCGAGGTGAGACCGTCTGTTTGAAAGGGTATGGACGAGGTCGTCAATGTAATGGTAGTCGTTTTTGTCAATCTTGGAACTTGATAGAGCGGCAGAGTAGGCTTCTTCAAGTCTCTTGACGCCGGACTGGTCTTTAGAGCTCAAGACAAATAGTCTCTTGGCAAAGATGTCACTTTCTGAAGGTGGAGTGTCTGGTCCAGTACTTATTCCAGACTCAGAGCCAGCCTCTTCATCATGTGGTATCGTGTTATGGTTGCCAACCAAGCCCCTGCTATTCAAGTAGTTATATGCGTCGTCAAGAATGGCGTGTGCATTAGCGCCACCAAAGCCGAACGAGTTGACGCTGATTCGGCGCTGGCCCTGGGTCGGCCATTTCATCACTTTGGGCGGGAGGGCCAGGTTCCAGTCGTTGAGTCGGAGTTTTGGGTTGAGAGACTCCACGCCATATGTCGGGACTAGCATGCCATTTTCCAGGCAAGCGAGAGCTTTCAAGATGCCGGCCAGGCCAGAGCAGCCTTCGGTGTGGCCAACGCTTGGTTTCACACTGCCAATGTAAAGAGGTCCCATACCAGCAGCGCCTCTGCTAGCCCCAAGTGTTGAGGCTATCGCCTCTAGTTCAATTGGATCCTATGATTAAAGTCAGCTTCAGTTTCCACGGCAATGTCAAGCCCTTTGCTTATTGTCTGGATTTATTTTCCCAACTTACCCCTACTGGTGTTCCTGTTCCATGGCATTCGAAGTATTGTGTGTCAGTCATGTTCAGGCCTGCTCTTGCGTATGTAGTTTGAATAAGCTCTGCCTGTGCGGTGCTGCTTGGCTGGGTGATACTTGGTGTCTTGCCGTCTGCGTTGGCACCAGTGCCTCGGATCACTGCCCGAATCGTGTCTCCATCTCGCAGAGCATCCGATAAACGCTTCACTACTATGCACGCAATACCCTCACCTCGACCATAGCCATTTGCACGATCGTCGAAGGTATGAGAGATACCCTCGGGGCTGAGCATGTGCATCGCCGAGAGCTGATGCATTGTGTTGGGAAACAGCATCAGATTGACTCCTGCAACAAGAGACTATAAACCCATCGTTAAGTGGTATGGTTAGCATTGGCCGGAACATTGGAAAGGGATGGATAATATATACCATGTTAGTTTCACCCAGTTTTAGTGACTGGCATGCCAAATGCAAGGCATAGAGACTAGAAGAGCAGGCAGTATCAAGGGTTAAACTGGGGCCCTTGAGGCCAAAGAACCAAGACACTCTGTTTGCTATCATAGCTTCGCTTGTGGCAGACGCAGCGGAGTGTCCGATGTCATAAATATCGTGAAGTGATAACATCTCGTAGTCGTTTGTCATGCAGCCTACGTAGCAGCCTGTCTGGCTATTGTAAAGACTTTCCACAGGAATGCCAGCTACGTAGAGGATCAGAAATTGCATATCAAAAGTGCATAGCTAGAGCTTATTCCACTTACCATTCTCTATGCTTTCATAGCTCACCTCTAGTAAGAGGCGCTTCATTGGATCCATGGCAGCAGCTTCTTTTGCTGTTGTCGAAAAGAAGGGCGCATCAAAGTGCGAGACATCTTGTTTAATAAAGTATCCATGCTTGGGGCGGATCTTTGAAGGACAAGTCTGTCAGAAGGAAAATCTGGATTAAACAGCAAATTCTGGTTGTATGGACTTACTCCTCCCTTTCTATCAGGGTCTGGATGATACCAATTATCCGCGTCCCATCGATTAGACGGAATCTTTCCATGTCCTGTCCTAGAATTACTGATCATATCCCAAAGACTGTCAACAGAGTTCGAGTCCCCAGGAAGCCTACATGCTGTTCCGATGATAGCAATAGGCTCTTCCTTATCCAATCTAACCATCTTGATAAGTGCTAAGTGAGACTGAACCAGGACACTATGTTTCAAAGAGGCGTTTTGATATCGAAATCTCCGTCATAAGTCAAGCGGGACGTGGGACCAGTGTCAATATAAATCTTCCTTACTCGAGAAAGTCACTCACACTTCAAAATTCCATTTCTTTGAAAATTTACCCTTCGTCCGGTAAACAGCGGCGATATTCCGACTTAATTGGCTAATGAGTCAGGATTTTCTCTATGTCATCGCCGACCTGAGCCGCAATTACGCTCTATGTCGATGTTAAGATAACCACACACCCTGGAAACAGCCGAAAGGAGAAACACCGAGATCTATGTGGGGCAATTTAGACAACAATGGCATCCGGCTTATTCCTATTCCTCGCATTGTATGCTGGATCAAGATCTTTTTAGACAAGTAATAGCGCGGAGTCTGACAATATGGAACTGGGCCGTGCCATAGTCGTGCGACGAAATGGACAGCATCCCAATGAGGAAATTCCCAGATATCAACATCATTGTATGATTGGGTAATCGTCTAACATTACACTTCGAAGGATGTTGGTACACTTAAGTGGATTTGGTGCCAAATTTAGATCTAGACCAGAGCACATTGAACAGCCAGTATCGATGCCAGCGGTTGCGCTCAAGAAATTATTCTACGCCTGCGAATAACGAGTCAACTGCACCAGATAACATCATTCAACATATCTCCTTATACAATTAGACTTGATATTCATTCCACCATGAGAATACTATGCCTACATGGCGTCGGCAGCAATGGGAGCATCTGTGAATCCCAATTGCAGCCTTTTATCCGAGCCTCCGACCCAAGCTACGAATTTGTTTTCGTAGATGGACCCGAGCCGTGTGAACGAGGACCAGGTACGGTGAAAACATACCAACATGTCCCTCAGAGTCTAGAACAAATCCTTACCAATTGATCACAGGAATGGCTGCTTATCATGATGGTCCATTCTATTCTCACACACGGGCCTATGATCCCCAGAACATGCAAGCAGCTATAGAACACCTAGAAGAAGTGATCGACGAATTTGGGCCGTTTGATGGAGTTCTAGGGTTCAGTCAGGGCGCCGCTCTCACCATCTCGTTCCTCCACCAGCGGGTCAATGAGCCTCTGCCGTTCAAGTTCGCTCTCTTCTTTTCATCTGTCATTCCATGCTCCGCCGACGCTACCGTTTGTGACAACCTGATAGATCGCATATGCCCTTTGGACAACAGTGATGCAGCATCAGAGGAACAGAGATTATTCTCGCAGCTTCTCGAACAAACTGTGATTCCGGCCCAAAAGCACAAGTCGATGCTTCCGGACTATGATATCTCAATTTATCAGGGGGATCAGGATCTCCTTCAGGCGCCAAGGTTGATGCCTCCTAGTCTAGCCAAGGAAAAGATTAGAATCCCGACTGTGCACATGACAGGGAAAAGAGACGCTCCATTCATGCGGAGTATGTCCAAGGCTGCCCTTGGCCTTTGCGAGAAGGGTTCCTTCAAGGTACTTGAGCATTCTGGTGGTCACGAGCCCCCAAAGGCCCCGGCAGACGTCAAGGCGGCCGTCCGAGCAATGGAGTGGGCCATTGGTCGCATGGCACATCTATAATCTTCAGTCGGATAATCGATGTGGGGAGTAGGTATCAGTGAATTTGCGAAGAAATATATATTTCATTCTTTCAGTCTTGATCTATCTATGATATCAGTGCTTTTCTTTGCTAGCAATAGCTCTGTCAATGCTCGTTCGCAACATACGTCGAGAGGAGCTAGTTACTCTCTCAATGGAGGCCAAAATCGCGAGTTGGTTCTGTCTGCCACCCGCACGTAGTTTGGGATTACCCAAAAGATATGAGAGTTCTGTAATCTGAACCGTTACCAGTGTGGTTAGAACATGCAGACGCTCGCAGCTACTCTGAATATGATATGTTGAGAACCACAAGTCCTCCATTGCATCATCGGGTGCGCGCGCCAACCCTTGCACGGCGTCCCTCCTTTGCCCTTGTGCATAGTCCATGTCGTCCATTCCCCCGCCGAGTGGTTGATTACTGGTTGATCTAGGAGAAGGAGTCGAGCCAACCAGATACTGGGGAGCTGTATCTTCGTGGTTCTCATTAACCATGTCATCAATCATTGCCACACAGCTCTCAACTACACGCTCATACATGTTACTCATAAACTGCAACAAAAGGGTGAGAAGAATGAGCCTTTCAGTCTGACTGCTTCCCTTGCACGCCCTGCATGGCTCTTTTTCCAATGCCTCTTTGCATCTCGCCAGTGCACTCCGCAACAGTCCAAGCAGAACCCCCATTGATGCAGGGTTCCGTGTGAGACCCATATTGGCGCCCAGTTCCTCCAGCAGCTCCAACAAAGCAGCCGAATACTTTGCACATCGGCAATTTTCCCTCTGTTGAGATGGTACATTAGTAGAGGCTGCTCTACCAACACTACCTGCAGCACCGGCCCCGGCGGACACTGAGGATGAGGCTGATGCTGACACAGAAGATTGAGGGCCCGATGTCCTGTGACGGTTGGCGTTGCTCAAGGTCTGGGCTATCGATCTACGCTGAACATCGGGTGCAGAAAGTGGCATGGAACCGTGGCTATTGCTGTTGGCCCTGGAAAGAGAGGAGGATGACGACGATGGCGGCCAAGGATTCTTCCTCGAGTCCCTTGGCGGTCGGTAAGATGCTGATGAGTTGGGGTTCTCGAACCCACTTCTATGCTGGTCAAGGCTTTCACTCCGGCTGCTGGAGCCTCCAGGCGGACGGGGTCTAGGAGATGCCAGAGCGGCACTCAGTGATGCCAGAACAGATTCCATGGCCATAGATGGAATATCATTTGGGATACCATTAGCTGGTTCGTTGGTGTCCTCTTCAGCTTCTGTAAAGGATGAAATGAGTTAGAAAGGACAGTAGTAGGACCAGATGTATGAATGCATGCACCGTTCTTACCACTTAGTTGTCTCTGATAACTGCCCGACGGCAGTTGATCGTCGGTGAGGGGATCCCAATGCTGACTGACTTCCCCAAACGTCCCAGAGGAGAGAGCACCGAGGTCTGGCCACGCATCCAGCATAGCTGAACGTGCCGAGGCGCTAGGAGCTTCCGCCTCCGCCTGTGCATTAGTTCCCGAGGTTAGCCAATGCTCGAGATGCTGTGCATCTCCATCGGCTTCGTCGTCAAAGTCAAACAAGTTCGTCGCTGACAGCATTAAGTCTTTTGTGGTTGTGCTTGAGGGAGCTTGATGACCATCCACAACACCATTTATCATATTATCCGCCGTGGCACCAATGGAGCTGTCGTTGGGGTTTGAATAGGTTTCTTTATTCATCGGTTCCTGGTTTGTGCCATCGCCGATAGTTGCATCTTGTTGAGAAGATTGGAATGCTGATCGAGATCGTTTCTTTCGGCGAGAGGGTCGACTTGGGTATTGGCATTCAGCGCCAATGGCGACACACTTGTCGCAGCCCGTTGGCTCTCCGCTGCACCTAGTCTGCTGACAATTAGACGACTCATAGTTTCCAAGGTGTGCATTCATCCTAAATGCAGTCTCGGTAGATCCATACCTTTCGAGCTCGGCAGAGGTGGCAGGACACATGCGGGCGTTCTTGGCGATTGCGGCTGAGAACCGAAGCCAGGTCCGAGTTTTCGACAAACGTCACAGGCTCTTTGGATTGAATGCTCAGTGTGCCAAACATCTTGTCTCTATACCCGCTATGTCTCTTTCTTTCATCGAGTTGCAAGTCCCGACGTATTGTATACGGCACAGGGGGTAAGGTTGAGCCAGCCGATGACGCTATCAGTTCCTCTCCGGATCACCGACTACGACCAGTGCTGTAAGGTATATTTAATGAATAAGCGAGAGAATGGTCCAGCTCACGCATACATCTAGAGAGAGGGATCGTTACTCAACATATAGCCTACCTCACTGCAACGTCAGGCATCTACTAAGCAAACCGGCAGTCAATCCTTGAAACATCCACAGCCACGCGCTTGTGCCTGCTATTTTGCGACCAGCCATCGTATCCATCGCGCGTTCACAGTTACTAAATTGGTTGGTTAATAGAAACGTGGCGGAAAGCCATGTTTGAGCATCCGCAACAGCTGCCCAATTGAGGGAACGACCTGCACCCTGTTCTCCCTTCTGCATCTCTCGCGCTCATTTAAGGAATGTCCTTCTACGTTAGGCACATAACGGTCACTTCGTACACATAAGAATGCCTTGCTGGATGCGGAACTAATGCAATACTATGAGTCGCAGATGGGCCACGGGTCGCAGGCACGAGAGAACAAAAAGAACACCCTGGTGAATTTACCGTCGCATCCGTGCGGTAGAGATTATGTATTCCCTGTCCGACCCCCATGTCTGGCCAACTCCCGGGAAGTCTTCCGTAAACCCTGTTCTTACGATGAAAAGTTCTAGGCACAAGAACAAGACCAATATGGAGGAACATACATCCGAGAACATTATAACTACATTTCCCCACGCTCCATCTGCCCGATAACAAGTTTTCCAGTTACCTCAGGAAAGAGATGTAATCCAAGGCGATTGGAAATTCTTAAAGTGCTCTGGAACTTCATGATCCGCGTCTACCGAAAATCCACCGTAGATCTATCACCAATTAGCACGAGGCTAGGTGGGTACACTTACTTGGCATTTTACGGCTGAACTGTCAAGCCAAATGATGATCGCTGTTTCACCCGTCTTTGCCGGTATAATATTGGTGGGCCAAATACTTCGGCCAAGAGGAGTCGTCTAAGCACGCTAAATCAATATGTGATTGGTCTTGCAGAGGTAATTCTCTCGAGCAGCGGACTATCTCAACACGCAAACCGGGCACAGACGCTCGTACCATAGCACAGCCCTGTATCGCGAAACACGACGACGCGCTCAGCTCCTGCAGGCCTGCATAGGCGGCATGCAGCACAGTCATACCGGAGCAAAAGGCCCCAGACCATTTTCCTGCGTCGACAACTCCTCGCCCAATTGGAACAGAGAGACATTTTCGTTGTGATGGCCGCCTCTTATGCGCAGGCGGCGAGGCATCTGCCCCTGTTCCACTACGGTCAGAATTTGGAGCACATTGTATCTGTGCGAATATCACTAGCAACGGATGATTTTCAGAGACCCACGTGGCATAAGCTATCATGTATATAGTTTAGCTTTGCTTGTTGAAACATGCTAGCAATTTAGTATTCCGCAGCCCCCGAAGGCTTCTGCCCTACGTCGCCAGGTTTATCACAATCCCTGCCTATTACCGCCGTGACATCGTTGTTCACACAGCTGAACGGCACTCTAACAATTATAGTTAAAGCCATGTCTCCATCCTGCAGGTCCGCGGCACACGTTTATTAGTGAATGCATTGCAACGTGCAAGGATCAAGCGCGCTGCACAAACTTTGAAAGTTCCCAATGACTCTGTGCTCTCATGCACGTTCCCAGCGGCAGAAAGGGTCTCTCAATGCAACGCACAACACGCGTCTATGCGGCAAGGCCCAGAATTCTGCATTGCCTCGGGTATGGTGAGGCGGTGGGGCGCGTCAATCGGGTATGTATTGCGGAATTCTAGCGTTGTTTCTATCAATATATGTGAGAACATCATTCAGAGATACTCGAACGAAATACGAAATACCGTGTTAGGCATACAAGGATGACAATCGGCGATTCCAATGACTAGAAACTTTTCGTCCTGAGCGTAATACGGCTCAAGATTCGCCCGATTCAATGTCCCATTCATCCGTAATGGCTTTCTATGCCTTCTCAATTCCCTAAGTCCTCAGTAAGATATCTGGTTAATGTGCCCATCATGATATAGGGTAGCTCTACGCAGAAACCACTACTGGCTGCTTACATAAGGATATCCATCCACGGCCAATCGCAACTACCTAACATAATTGACGCAGCCCTTGCGCATACCCCACTCTCGCGCAACTTCCCCTCTAAAATCTATCTCTTATATATCTATATAACTAGCTTTATATAAAGACCTACTTTTAATTAATAAGCTTATAGATAATTTAAATATCTAATTTACTATATAGAAAAAACTTTATATTAAAATAATTTTTTTAATATTTTATTTTTAATATTAAAGTTATAAATAAGCTTTTTAAAAATAGATTATTTATTATAATCTCTAGCTATATTACTAATAGTATAATTTCTAAAAATATTTTTTTATTTTTTTCTATCTATTTCTTAATATATAAAACTTTTAAAAAAAATTCTAATTAATTTATTTAGTTTTAAAACTAATTTATAAATATTAGAAATAGAAAATATAAGCTTTTTTAAAAAAAGTACTTATTTTTCTTAGGAAATCTCTAAGAAAAGAAAGTACCTTCTTATAATAAGCTTTTTTTTAATTTTCTAATTATATATA